AACCACTTGCTTTTTTTCCCCCCCACAAGGAAGTCACTTCTGAAGAGCTGTCATGCCAACATTGGGGGAAATCCAAGGAACACACAGAGGATGGCTAAGGGACATAATCCTTTCATCATTCTGGCTGAGAAAAAAAAGAATGGTGGTAAAACGCTTTTTAAATAACATTCTGAGGAGACTCAGAATTCACAGGAGGCATTAAACATGTAGGCTGAAGCAAACCAACGACTACGCTCTTAGTACTTCTGCTTAGAAAAGATTCAAATATTCAGCCTCAGGTTACGTGTCTATTCAGTTGAAATGAGAATGGGTGGGTCAATCACAATTTGAATGCTGCCATGTTCCAAGGAAATATTTGGAATTCAGGTGCTATATTTGTTTAATTTTTAAAAGGTCCTAGCATGTTGTTTGTACTTCATTGTTCTTGAAAACTACAGTTTTGGACAAAGGTCTATGAGTGTGTTTGAGGGATGGGTCCATATGGGTTGTGATAGAAATCTTTATTGAAAGCAATTAAACGTTAATTATACATCTTATTTCTCTTTCTCTCTCTCTCTCTCTCTCACACACACACACACACACACACACTCTTAGCTCTTACCATGATCCTACTATTTTTCCCATATTACAGCTGGGAGAACCAAGGCAAAGGAAATTCCACAATCTGCCTTAGATCCCACAGTTGGTCACTGACAGGGACTAAATAAACTCCATTAAGAACATTTTTTTTTTTATTGAGAGACAACTGACATACATCGTTGTATAAATTTAAACTGTATAGCATGATGATTTGATTTACACCTATTGTGAAATGATTACCATGAAAGATTTAGCTAACATCCATCTTCTCTTATATATCCCATAAAAAAAAAAAAAAAGAAAAGAAAGAAGAAAAAAAGGCCAAAACATTTTCTTGTGATGGGAACTCTTTGAATTTACTCCCTTAACAACTTTCCTATACATCATACAGCAGTGTTAGCTATGGTCATCATGTTGCCTATTATATCCCAAGTAATTATTTATCCTGTAACTGGAAATTTGTACCTTTTTAAAAAATATTTTATTTATTTATTCATGAGAGACACAAAGAAAGAGAGAGACAGAGACACAGGCAGAGGGAGAAGCAGGCTCCATGCAGGGAGCCCGATGCGGGACTCGATCCCGGGACTCCAGGATCATGGCCTGAGCCAAAGCAGATGCTCAACCACTGAGTCACCCAGGCGTCCCAAGTGTGTACCTTTTAACCATTTTTCTACAATTCTGGTCCCCCATCTTCTGCCTTAGGTAATTTTTTTTTTTTTTGAGATTCCACACAGTGAGATCACAGTTATTTGCCTTTCTCTGACTTACCTCACTTAGTGTAGTGCCTTCCAAGCCTATGGATTTTGAGGCAATTGGTAGAATTTCCTCGTTTATTTATGGCTGGATAATATTCCACTGTATGTGTACATACACATATACACATACATGTTCATCCATTCATTTCTTTATCCACTCACCCATCTGTGACACTTAGGTTGTTTCTAGGTCTTAGCTTAGCTAATGCTTCTATGAACATGGTGTGTTGCAGAAATTTTTTGAGTTTGTGTTTTCATTTCCTTTGGATATATTCCAAGAAGTGGAATTACTGGATCATATGGCAGTACTACTTTTAATTTTTTGAGGATCCTCCATTCTGTTTTCCATAGTGTCCATACCAGTTAACAATCCCACCAACAGTGTACAAGGGTCCCCTTTTCTCTACATCCATACCAACATTTGTTATCTCTAATCTTTTTGATGATGGTCATTCTAACAGGCATGAGGTGATATCTCACGTGGTTTTACCTTGCATTTCTCTAATGACTAGTGATATCGGGCATCTTTTCATGTACCTCGTCTTCTCTGGACAATGTCTATTCAGGTCCCTTGTCCATTTTTTAATTGGGTCATATGTTTTCTTGTTATTGAGTGGCATGGGTTTTTTTCTATATTTTGGATTCTAATCCCTTATCAAATATATATGAATTGTAAATGTTTTTCCCATTCTGTAGGTTGTCTTTTCACACTTTGCTGATGGTTTCTTTTGCTGTGCAGGAGTTTTTAGCTTGATGTATTCTCGCTTGTTTATTTTTTATTTTGTTGCTTGTACTTTAGGTGTCATATCCAAAAAATCATTACCAACACCCATGTCAAGAAGCTTTATTTCTATGTTTTCTCTAGGAATTTCATGGTTTCAGGTTGTATATTTAAGTCTTTAATCCACTGCAAGTAAGTTTTTTGTGAGTAATGTAAATATGTGTCCAGTTTTTTTCTTTTGCATGTGAACATCCAATTTTCCAGCATCATTTATTGAAGAGACTCCTCTGAGTATTCTTGCCTTCTTGGTCCAATATTAGTTGATAATATAGGCGTGGGTTTATTTCCAGGTTTTTGATTCTGTTTCAGTGTGTCTGTCAATTTTATGTGTCTACTGTTATGACAATACCATACTGTTTTGATGACTATATCTTTATAGTATAGCTGAAATTAGGAAGCATGATGTCTCCTTCTTTGTTCTTCTTTCTCAGCATTTCTTTGGCTATTCAGAGTCTTTTGTGGTTCCATATACATTTTATGAGGTTTTTTTTTTTTTTTGGCTTCTATAAGTCAATTGGAATTTTGATAGGAATTGCATTGACTCTATAGATAGGTTTTAGTAGTATTGACATTTTAATGACATTAATTCTTCCAACCCATGAACATGAAATACATATCCATTTATTTGTGTCTTCTTTAATTTCTTTCATCATTGTATTGTAGTTCTCAGAGTAGAGATCTTTTATCTTTGTAAATTTATTTCTAAGCATTTTATTGTTTTTGATCCTACTATAAAATGAGATCAACTTCCTTATTTCTTTTTCAGAAAATGCATATTTGTGTATAGAAACAAACTGATTTTATTATATCCTGCAACTTTACTAAATTAATTATTTAGATCTAATAGGTTCTGGTGAAGTCTTTAGGATTTTCTATACATAAAATCATGTTATCTACCTATAGAGAAAATTTTACCTCTTCCTAATTCTGATACATTTTCCTCTCCCACTCCTGCTCCCTCTCCTTTTCTCCTTCTTCTTCTTCTTTGCCTGATTGTTCTAGCTAGGACTTCTAGTACTATGCTGAAGAGAAGTGATGAGACTAGGCATCTTTGTCTTGATCACTGAGTCACCTAGGCGTCCCTAATTTGTTGAGAGTTTTTATGAGCGATGCACTTTGTCATATGCTGTCTCTGCATCTATTGAGATGGCTATATGATTTGTTTTCTTTTCTTCTATTAATGTGCCATATCACACTGATTAATTTCTGCATATTGAACTATCTTTGTATACTAGGGATACATCCCATTTGACCATGGTGAATGATCCTTTTAATGTGCTGAATTTGATTTGCTGTATTTTTTTTTTTTTGAGAACTTTTACATCTATACTCATCAGGGATACTGCCTACAGTTTTCTTTCTTCTTTCTTTCTTTCTTTCTTTCTTTCTTTCTTTCTTTCTTTCTTTCTTTTTTTTAAGATTTTATTTATTTAGAGGCAGAGACACAGGCAGAGGGAGAAGGCTCCATGTGGGGAGCCCAACGTGGGACTCGATCTCGGGTCTCCAGGATCAGGCCCTGAGCTGAAGGTGGCGCTAAACCACTGAGCCACCTGGGCTGCCCCAGTTTTCTTTTCTAGTAGCATCGTTTCTAGTTTGGGTAATAGGATGATGCTGGCCTCATGAGTTTTGAAGTATCCCTTCATCTTCAAATTTTTGGAAGAGTCTGAGAAGGATTGGTATTAATTTTTCTTTAAATGTTTGACAAAATTCACCAGTGAAGTTATCTGGTCCTGAGCTTTTCTTCTTTCTTGGGGATTTTTGGTTACTGATTCAATCCTCTTACTAATAAGAGGTCTATTTAGATTTTCTGTTTCTTCCTGATTCAGTCATGGTAAGTTGTATGTTTCTAAAAGCTTTTCCAGTGTGGTGGCATATTGTTGTTCATACCATTAAAAATGTTTTGTTTGCTAAACTACGTGTCTGGTTTATTTCAAGAATCCAATTCAAATTTTGTGAATTGCATTTATTTCTGAAAATTTGTAGGCCTGAAGTTTCGGAGAGACTGGGTCAGTTTAGATCATCTAAACAGGTTATCTTTGGAAGAATAACATGACCCAGTATCATATGGATTCCATCAAGGTATTGTCTATAACAGATGCAGCTTCCTAAGAGAAGCTGAGGTTGAATTGATTGAGAATGTAATGAGTACTTACAGGCAAAAATATTCTAGTGTTAGGAATATGTTAGGCATTCACTACTTTCTTTTTAGGATTCTTTGTTTTACTTATAATATGTGAAAGTACTGGCTAGGTTTTATAGCCCCCTCATGCCTATTTAATAGCTGAGAGTGTTCAAGCTGATTATTATGGTACATTAGGCCTTAGTTGATGGCAAAATGAAATACGGTTCAATTTCCTAAGGTTCTGAAGCAGAAATCCTATAGAAGTAAAATGTAAGCAAATTGCTACTCCTAGAATTTCTGCTTAGATTATTCTAATCATCCCCACATCCCCATTGTTGTAACACCCCAGGTAATTCCCACCTATTTAATATGACTCAGGTCAAGTATTGACTTTTTATAAAGCCTTAATTCTTCCAGGAAGAGTTCTATTTTCCCCTCTTGCTTCTACAGAAGAAAGGATAGACCTTTTTCTACTCCAACACTTCCCAAATGGATGTCTAAGAGAAATCAGACAATAGAGACTATCATTTTTTTTCTGTGTATCCCCAATGATTGGGAAGTATCTGATCACTGAATGTTACTGAATAGCCGTCTTGCTTAAATTCACAAAACAGGGTTTAGTCACCCACCAAATTTTAGTTTTAGTCAAAAAGATGGTGTGTTTTCATGTTCAAAATGGGTCTTACACAATCTTATATCTTAATTGCTTGAAACAGTTATGGATAAAGAGCAAAGGTTCTCTTAGGAGTTTGCAACTTACCTTACTTGACTTGTGGTCCACATTAAAAGTGGCAATTGCATCTTCTGTTTTTTTCCTCCCAGATTTGGTTATTACATATTCAGCAAGTTTGTTTGCTAAATAGGTCTTTCCAGTACCACTAGGTCCTGAGAGTATAATTCTGTGATGCTCCATCAACAAGTTAAAGTACCTTTGGGTAATTGGTTTAGGAATCAGTGTATCAAAAACAAAACTGTCCAAACTGTTTTCTTCTACTCCTGAAGGAAGAAACAAAGGGAATAATAGCATGTCTTATTGTTCTACAGAAGTTGGTATTTAAAATATAGTGTTAACCCACAACAGAGTTTTATGAGTCATAGGAATGCAGGCCTTGTAAAATGCCTTTCTTGGTATTTCTATCTTACAACCACATGTTGCCATTTTAAGACGAAAAAACATTCGTAAAAAGGTAGAGCGAACATCCAAATGAAGGTAAGCTATTTCCTTTTGTTCAGGCTTCCCTCCCCTGTCTACTTCATGTTTCCCACTTATGTTTCCAGAGAGAACTGAAAGAATTACTATAAATTCTATTATAATATCTTTCTTCTCTTTGGGGGTGGTAGGTTTGTAGAGTTTAAATGTAAATAATAAAATGTGCATTTTTTCCTTTTTCTTCCTATTTTCTCCTTCTTTTCATTTTCTTCTATCTCTCATTACAAATCCCAGCTGTACACTTAAGCTTTTGAAGAACAGAAATTGTGATATCTGGCAAGGAATTAAGAAATAAAGCAACAGAATCTCCTTTTACTAACCCAAGCACCTTAATCACAAAATCAAATGTTGGCAAATTCCTCTATTAATCTAGTTTATATAGACGGGCTCTGACTCTTTAACATATATGAACAAGGAATTATGGAGACAAGTATACTTTTGATATTCCGTTTGCCTATAATTAATCACTTCATCCAAAGCAAACAGATTTTCTTACCCCCAATTCCTAACATCTAGTGTCTATCCCCAGTGGATATTTATTGGGTATGCATATTTTAAAATCAAAGATACAGTGATGAATATATTACTTTGTGATATGCAATGAATTATTTGAATCCTCCCTAAATGAAGGATGATAATGGAGGAAACTGAGAGATTTGAAATTCCCTAAATCACATTCCTTTTTCTTGAGTCTTGGAGAATCTTCAAAATTACATCCCAAGTTTCACATCCCAGAAATCAAAGAATTTCATTTACTTGGATTTTAGTGTTCTTAGTAAGATTTTAGTGTTTTAAAAATAAATAATTGAGGTCTCTTTTCATACTAAAACTATCAATGTGGTTAGCATAGTTTCCAAATATGAAAATGTAAAGTGAAACTAGAAAGAAAGAAAGAAAGAAAAAGAAAAGAAAAGAAAAGAAAGAAAGAAAGAAAGAAAGAGAAAGAAAGAAAGAAGTTGGTTAAAACAATATGGTTGTGTTTTTCTTTTCTTTCTTTTTTTTTAATTTTTTTATTTATTTATGATAGTCATACAGAGAGAGAGAGAGAGAGGGGGGCAGAGACACAGGCAGAGGGAGAAGCAGGCTCCATGCACCAGGAGCCTGACGTGGGATTCGATCCCGGGTCTCCAGGATCGTGCCCTGGGCCAAAGGCAGGCGCCAAACCGCTGCGCCACCCAGGGATCCCCATGTTTTTCTTTTCATTTTTGTTTTTACCTTTCAGGTTCACAGTAATGATGTTATTATCTCCAACAAGGTATCCACAAGGCAGCAGTTCAGGCACTTCTAGGCTATGGGATCTAATTAAATCTCCTATACAGTAGCTAGCAATGCAGTCAGAGCTCAGACCAAGGCTAGTGGATGTATCAATTCGGAACACATATTCCTAAAATGATACATACAAAAAAGGAAGTCAAAACAGAGATTCAACTTATCTACAACAAATACAAAACTCATGGGGATATGTAGCTAGCTGTGAAGACTTTTGGAATGGATAATAGAAGAATTATTAATATCACACAGCAACAAATAGAGAAAGCTTTTCTTACACCTTGAAATGGAAGCAAGGGAAAGCATATATGTCTACATTATTAAAGCTAAAGGAAACATATAAAATAAAACATAAAAGAAAATTAATATCAAGATACCTTGTGTAACTTACCTTAAAGAGACGTCTAATTACACCATCTAAGACATCCCACTTGGTTTTTCCACTAACACCAATGGATCCTATCAAATATGCCTGAGACTTCTGATCCTAAATAAAAAAAAAACCACTATAGAATCCAATTATATATTTTGTTTTATTACTACATTCTCTACTAAAATATATTAATGTACTAATGATTAAGACTCAAATGTTTATGAAGCCTATGGGTTTTATTATAACAGACATGTATGGTATAATATATAAAATAAAACATACCCCAAACAAACTAAACAAATAAATGAAGTAATATTAAATTCAATAAGAAAGAAAGAGATGAGATGAAGTGGAATGGTATGGAAAACTGATGCATGACCTGTTTGGTAGTAGGGAAATAAGTCTTTTGCTTTGATGCAGTGAGTACATTCTTGAAGAGAAGCAGCTTGGTAGAAGGGAAATAGTGGCAGTTATGGAAGAGAACTATTTCATATGAGCCCTAGAACTTCATCTTACTCATTTTGTGATCCTATCTTTAAGTCTAAAATTCAATTTTTTCATTTGTTAATTTAGATTGTATCTAAAATTGAATCTGTCTTTTTTTTAAAAAAAGATTTATTTTATTTTAGAAAAACAGAGATAGAGGGAGGGAGGGGAAGAAGGAAAGGGGGAGAGAGAGGGAGAGAGGGAGAAAGGGGGGGAGAGAGAATCTCAAGCAGACTTCTCATTGAGCATAGAGCCTGACATAGGGCTCAATCTCATGACCCTGAGATCACAACCTGAGCCAAAACCAGATGGACTCTTAACCAACTGTGCCACCCAGGTGCCCTTAAAGTCTAATCTGTCTTTTAAAAAATGAGTTATCCATAGTAGCATGGCATTCACATATTTATAAAACAGTTCCCATTTTGAATTTATCAGAAAATTCACTAAAAGAACAGATCAAGGAATCCTACAGGACTCATTTTATCAAGCAAAGAATCCTTTTTCAGTATAAAGAATGGTCCCAAATTTATTATTATTTTTTTTGTAGGATGCGATTTTGAGGACTTTCTACATACATTGGACAAATAAACAATTCAAGATTTATAGACAGTGGAGCCTCTTTTACGATGACTGGAAATGGTCACATAAAGTAGTGCTCATGATGCCAGTAGATATAATTAGCTAGCTGATGTGTTACAATCCTGAGTCTAGTTGCCAACTGTATTCATCCTTAAGAGGGTGACAGAATAATCACTGAATCAGATATTAGGAGACAGCGACTATGCAACACACAATATCTGCTACCTAATTTAAAAAATGTGACTTTAGGTAAGTAACTTAGACACCTCAGGGCCTCGATTTCTTCATCTGTAACATTTACCTCTATAAGGGTAAATGATTATTACCATTGTTTAGATATAATCCAAGTTAGAAGCCAATATCTTTTTCAGAAAAAGTTAAGAAATTCACAGAACACCCTTGTGATTTTTTTTAGTACTGTTATGCACTGAATGTTTGTGTCTCCCCAAAATCCAAATGTTAAAGCCATAGCCTTCAGTGTGATGATTTTTGGAAATGGGACCTTTAGGAGGAAATCAGATTAGGTCAGTAGAATGGGGCTCTCATGATGGGATTAGTGACCTTATAAGTAGGAGAGGAGAAAGAGACATTTATCTTTCTCTCCCCAAGTACACACACTTTCGAAAGGACATGTGAAGACATATCAGAAAGGTGGTTTATCTGCAATGCAATGAAAGACTTCTCACTAGGAACCAAATCAGCCGGCATTTTGATCTTGGGCTTCACAATGGTGATAAAATAAATTTTTTATGTTTAAGCCACCCAATATGGTATTTTGTTATGGCAGCCCAAGAAGACTAAAAAAAAAAAAAAAAAAAAAAAAAAACAAAAACAAACAAACAAACAAAAAAAAACCCTTTCATTGTTCAAAGACATTGTTTTTTAGAATCATTGTAAAAAACTGAACTTGTTTCCCAGTATCACTGTAACTCAGTCAAAATGAATGCTCATACAATATAAGTAGCTGGTTTTAAATCAGAGATAGTTTAAGCTTCATTGAGACTATTACAGTCTTTCACATGAAGACCCACTTGGGAAAATCAGGCATACATCTACAGCTCAAGCAGAAAGTCTGTGGTGTTGGAATTCTTTGAATATTTTCTCGGGGTAAAAATTCACAAGTGCTATCTTACCTTTCAAACTTCAATGCTTCAATTATTTTAAAATTCCAAAGAAGCAAAAAAAAAAAAAAATTCCAAAGAAGCTTTTGTTTTTTTGCTAGATAGGAAAAAATTCAGATTCTTACAAATTTGTATTCTTGGCCACTCAACTACAAATTCAGCTCGAAATAATACTTTTAGTTTTAAAAAAGGACTTGAGTCACAATTTGACAGCAACATTTGATTCCAGAAAAGCTAAAATGTTTTCCTTATCAGCTAAGACTTTTCTTAAAAATGATATATACAAGTTGCATCAATGGAGTTGTCATATGAAGTTCAGTAAATACATCTTTCCAATGCCTAGAATGTTCATATAGCTTATAGTCTCCTCTTTGTACAAAAGCTATATTGACAGCTCTGGTAACACATTACTACACATCATAAATATCACCTGTATTTTACAGGTGACACCAAACGAATTTAGACAAGATGTTTATGTCAAAGAAAGCAATGTTCCTTTTTTGAAGTTATAGAAATGAGAATGGTTGACAACCAATATTGTCTTCTGTGAATGAACGGGATGCATTGAGACACATTTCTACCTATATGATGGTGTCATTTCTTTTGAGTCCCTAACTTTCATGCTTTTATAACATACTAAGCCAATGCCAAGACACACGCTGATGACAGTATATTTACCAGGAGAAATATTCAAGTATAAAATACATTTGATTCATGGTCACACTCATTCTTTAGTAATAAAGAATTTAAGATTAAAGACATACCTTTGCTCGGCTGTAGCCCTTGCTTATGGAGACTATAATTTTTACACTGCGGCCGTCTTTGTGTCCAGTTCCATCACTAGCATCATCCAGCAAGATATCTACCAAATTTTCAAAGAAACACACACACACACACACACACACACACACACACCATGCACACAACAGAGTCACATTAGCTTGGAATTGTTTATTGTCATTGTTTTCTCCCATTGTTTCTCCCTCCCTCAGTTTTATGTCTTTCAGTGGGAATATTTGGCCTTTTGGTTTCCCATTCTAGCCTAACTGGTTTGAAAAGTCTCAGCTTTCAAGATGAATTAGTGTGGTTGCGTGGAAGGTTCAGTCGCAGAATTTATTTCTGCCTCCAGAGATCATCACCCACGTGGTGGGCCATTGCCTTCAGATGAGGAAATAAGGAGTTGCTTTCTCTATTATACCCAGGTCTGAGGAATACCTGAGTAATATTCAGTTATCATTGTAGCTGTGACAAACTGAAAAGCAATTTGATTTTTCCATCCAACATAAAATATCCAAGCTCAATACCCATGTAAATTACAAATGCTAAGGTACTGAGATTGGCTGTCAACTGAAATTATTTTCAACCATTTGGCACACATCCAGCTATATTACTGCCTACCTTATATCTATAATTATTAGGGACTGTTATTGAATTTCAACCATAACATTAAACTTCCCTATAGGAGTACAATAATTATCACTCTCTAGTACCCTTCATGCTTGTAGTTTTAAAACCAAAATAGTATTTCTAACAATAAGCTAAGACTTACAGAAGCCTGACAAAGCTAGCTAACCTTCAAAGCACCAGTCTTTAAATGTAGTTAAAGATTAATTTTCAAAATATACTATATGAGATTAACGTCCATTTGGGATAATTATTAATGTCAACTATTCCACATATGTTTTCCTTTGACAATAATGTTAGTATAATAGGGCCATGTTGAATATGAATACAGTGCTCTGTGGACAAAAGAAACTCCGTTATGTGCTAAAGAACACATGTGTCTGGTGACAAGGGGCCTCGATTACTCCGACTGTAAATTTATAGAGATAAGGGCTGTGAATGTACTAGCAGAGACACGATAATTTAATCAAATAGCTTCTGAAAATGGAATGGTTCTATTATCTTAACAATTAAGAATATGCAATTTCACAAAGGAAGGAGTAAAAAAAACATTCCCTAAGACCATAACAATAAAAAAATCAACAGAATTTGCGGAATATGGATATTTTTGCTAGAAATGTTTAAATCATCAAAGATAATCCTTTCACTAGAAATTTAATTATTTTACCAGATTAATATGCTCACAACCTCTTTGCTTATCTCAGTCAAACTAGAACTCTTCCTAAGCGTCATTTTATCCTCTTGCTCTTTTTCTTAGAAGTTTAGAGTGGCTTACCGTGGGCTACCTACATCTAAATTTCTGGTAGGCTGTGACCAAATTATCTCTTTAGTACTTTGCTCAATTAGTCATAAATGTTCATAAATATTCAAAGATATTTATTAAACCTAAATGATACCAGGAACTGTGCCGAGCATTGGGAAAGAATACCAAGGTGAGAAGCAAAACAAGTTTCTTGCTCTTTTGGAGTGTACATTCTAAACAGGGTAATTTCAGAATGTGTTAAGTGCCAGAGCTAATAACGGCGTGAAGCAGTGAAACAGAGTAAGCAAAGGAAGGCTGCTCTACATGGCTAGGTCGTCCTGGAAGGCATCCTTGAGGAGGTGCTCTTTAGAGATAAGACCGGCAAGTAAAGACCTAGGGAAAGAGGTCCAGAAAACAAGAACAAATGCAAAAGCCTTGATGAAAGAGCTAGGTGTGTTCAAGGCTCAGACGAAAGCTCTGGGGAGGCAGGAGTGTGGAGATCAAGATGGGGGGGGAGGAGAGTAGCAGGAAATGATGTTGAGGTGGGTAAGGGCCAGGTCAAGAGCGGTCCAGTCCTCCATCGCAAGGCATTTAAGGTGATTTGATTTCTGATCTACTTCTTTGCTCAAATTTGTTCTGGAACATGTTATTCATTTCATGTTATGCTTACTTTTAAAAACTGTGCTTAAAATATGGAATTTCTTCTGACAGCAGTGAAGTAAATGTCACCATTAACGAACGAACAACCGTCCTTGGCTTCTCACATGTGGTTATTTACAGTAGAATGAATATAGTAGGGAAAAGGTCAGGCACTGGATTCCTACAGACCTGGGTTCAGATATTAGTTCTGTCCCCTACTAGTCACATGATCTGGAAAAAATTATTATTGTCTCTTTCCTAAGTCTTGGTTTCCTCATCTGTAAAATGGCCTCAAACAGGACCCACGTCATAGGGTTGCTGAGACCATCAGAGATCATGCCTTTACAGCACTTTATCCTCAGTGTTTAACAAGGTCAGCGGTTCTAACCATCATTCCTTTCTCCATGTGTTTATTATAACTCTTTTCTCTTTGCAGGAGTGGGAGGAGCGCATCATGACTCACTCTGTCTCCCTTCTTCCCAACATATTGATGTGAAATAACTCCAAGAAAAAAAGGGAAAAATAACAAATTTGAGGTAAGGGCTTTCTGTGGGTTGGTTTTGTTTTGTTTTTTTGTTTTATGGAAAATAGGTTATGGTCCTCTGTCAATACTTTGAAGGAAGAATATAAAGATCTGCCACTCTGATTATAATCAAGTGAAAGTCTCACAGACACACAAAAATGAAGGTTTTTCAAGCTTCTGCCTTTACTGGATGTATAGAAATACAGAACTAAACATTTGTCAATTATTCACTCTCCTGCCTACTGCTTTCCTTTTTAAAAAAAAAAAAATCATGAACCCTAGAAAGTTTTTTTTGCTAAAAAGCTCCAATGTAAAGGTGCTTCTGATTTTTAATTTTAAAGCCACTAATCAAGAGGGAAGGCAGTGAAAACAGTATCCTAGTCATGTGACTTAATTTTGTTAGTTCAGATATAATTATCACTAATGATAAATAATTAAGGAAATAAAGTAATATTAAACTGCAAATAAATAATAAAATGGGTAATTAAAAAGTACATTTTTGAAATGCCTACAAAATATCTGCCCCAAATTCTGAATCACAGACATCCGTATTTTCAGTCTGATGAACACCGAGATTGTCTATTTCTTTTATTTAGCTTATACTTATCTTTCTGAGTTTTAGTCTTTCCTGGACATGAATTTCAGGTTCATTTTTATTTGGCTTCTATTTCTAGCATACGATTCTTTTTTTTTTTTTTTTAAGATTTTTATTTTATTTATTTATTCGAGAGAGAGAGAGGCAGAGACAGGCAGAGGGAGAAGCAGGCTCCATGCAGGGAGCTCCACGTGGGACTCCATCCTGGGTCTCCAGGATCACGCCCTGGGCCGAAGGTGGTGCTAAACTGCTGAGCCACCTGGGCTGCCCCTTGGCTTCTATTTCTAAACTATCTTCAGCACTAACTATGCTTCTTTTAAACCTTATTACATATCCATGAGATGAAACAAGATCATGTAACAAGCAGTGAAATCCTGCCATTAAGCCACCCTGTAAGGCACAAGCCCATGTCTCTTCTTAGTCAAGCCAGGACAAGAAAGTCACTGACGGCCTTTGGTTATGGACCCTCATCCACTTCTCCATCAGGTTCATCACCAACAAGCCAACATATAGCATATTGCTCAGGGCTCCCGGAATCTATATATTTGAAGTCTTCGTTTTTTCTTTTTGAGCATCTTTTGAAGAATTTGCATGATAACACATTACAGACAGTTTACACATCCAAGTTACTATCATAGCCTCAATGTTCTATTTTACCAAATGATTTATCATTTTGTTTAATTGTGACATCTCTCTGTTTCTTCCTGGCTACTAATGTTTGTTTTGCTTGATACTTATTCTCAGAAATCATTCCCTTTCCCAAGTACCTGCCAAATGTCATATACAGTGTGTTTCTGAATTTCAGGGAGTTCCTACTTGTCTTTTAGTTCCCACTTGTCTTTTCTAAGAAGAAAGCAAGTTATACATTTGAGCCATTCATTTTACACTATGAAGGGCCGGTATAACAGTAGAATTGTCAATATTCTCACTTTTTAGAAGAGATGTGATTAAAAATGTCATCAAATTCAGCATGTAGTGTCTCTGTGTCACTTCCTCTTCTATATTTTCGTGTAATTTAAGACAAGCCGGAAAGAGCTATATAGCTGTATAATGGCATCAAAAGTGTCCCAGGAACATGTATATCATTGGTTTCCAAGCGTCATCTGGTGGCTGTGCTCTGCAATTACTACAGATCTTCGCGTAAATCTCTCCTAAACTAAATCTCACCCACATAAAATGATTCACTGCCACAGGAGCGTTTACACTTGATAACTGAATAGTTTGTCACATACTAAGATAACATTATGTCAGATGATTCTATTTGCAGTGAAATAAAACCATCATTAATACCACTGAACACAGTGGCAGAATCCAGGGAGTTCTTTTCATTTGTTTGTTGAACACTTAATAGAACTGTGCCCTGGGTGATGCAGTGGCTTTACGTTCTCTCTAGGCAACATAATGCAAGATCATCTGGTCAAATTCACCGATAGATCCTGATACACTCGTAAATGGGCTTTGTACACTGAAAACACTCTAAAATTGCATGTGATTACTAGTATTATAAGTACTGATGATCACCCCTGAGAATATTATTTTTTTTTTATTGTGTTTGTCATCATTCAGGAAGAAACTTCTCAAGCACGTCATTTTTTCACATGACACGAAAACCATATTCTCCTAAGTCTTTCACTCTTTCACGGAGAATGCTCTTTAGACGTTGTAACAAAGTAGAATAATTTTTAAAAAAAAAAGAAGAATGGGGCTATTTCTGAGAATTAAGAGTACTAACGTTTTTACGAGGGTAAGGTGAGAACAGGGGTGGGTGGGCTTCTGCAAATCCCAGCCCCTTCCCCTCCCACTAAGTCACAAGCAGGTGTGTGCACAGAATTACCTGAGGTAACAGATTCTGTGATGTTCAGATTGTTTAGAGAAAGTCCTAACGACTGCCGTGAAGATGAGGAGGATGTGCTACTTGAGGACTCTGATGGTGGGCGAGCAGGCTTAGCTGTGTTACCAGTTTCTGCTTTCAACCGGTCATTTTCTGCCTTCAGCATTTCAATTTCATTCTGTTGTGAGGATGGAAAACATGGGAAAAAAAATCCAGCTAGTTTGAGTGAGAAAATGGCACCAACTCTTTTATCACAGCTGATTATTTGGTTTATTTAATTAAGCATTGGTGGTATGTTTAATAAACAAATATAAATGATGAAAACAGGACTTTCTCTACAGAAGGAAAACCAACCTATTCTCTTTCTAACATTCATATATTTATGTATCCACAAATATAGAGGCACTAACCATTAGAATTTTTTAAAAGTATTTTTAAAATATACCATATATTTGAGGAGTCTTCCAGGACTTGATCCCATTTGAATCAAGAATAATAATGTTTAGAGAGTTTATAAAAATTTCTCATTTTATTTTTTTTTAATATTTTATTTATTTATTCATGAGAGACAGAGAGAGAGAGAGAGAAGCAGAGACACAGGCAGAAGGAGAAGCAGGCTCCATGTAGGGAGCCTGACATGGGACTCAATCCCAGGTCTCCAGGATCAGGCCCTGGGCCGAAGGCAGGGGCTAAACCGCTGAGCCACCTGGGCTGCCCAAATTTCTCGTTTTAAAAGTACTGTTAACATCTCACAGGTAAATAACGCCATCTGTAATATTCGGAACTCACAGAGAGTTGAAAACCAGAGTAAAACAGAAACAATAGGAGTCAGGTGATTTAAAATTACTTCAAAATCCCAACTAACATCTGAAAAAGTTTCTGTTCCTTCAAACTGGGGCATTAGGCTCATAAATGCAACCAAAACCTTTGGATGAACATACACAGGGGCAGAGAAATCTGCTCAGTGGTGAGCTTTCCTTTTTTCCGTCATCTGTGGTAGCAGGCGATTACCAGTTTACAATAATAAAATGAAAACTTAGGCTGAGCACAGACTGGTTCTGAAATTAGCCTTCAGATGCTTACTTGTACAGATGGCATTCTACATCACTTTTACTTCCATATTTAGAAAGCTTGTGTTAAATTCCTGTAGTTTCCTCATTGCTTCCCCCCCACCCCCACCCTTCCTGGTAGAAAACAGATAAGGGCAACTGAAAGTCAGATTTCAAAAGAGCGGAGAACAGCCAACACCAAGGTACATCATGGAAAAGTGAAGATGGGGGCTTGTAGTAGTTGCTCGACAAACTCCACTCTCAAGTGAATCCAGTCACTAGGACAAGGGTCTTGAACGGCCCTTGAGTGCAACTGGCCAGTCTCTGGGTTTGACAAAGCACTCCAGTTGGTATGAAGAAATGAGGTGCAAAGATTGAATAAACTGTGTGTTTCCCAGTGGGCACAAAAGGGAGATTTGTTTTTAGAATAACCAAGAGTGAAAAGAGATAGCATTTTTAGTGTCTCCCGTTGGCCCCTGGAAGGTGTTTCGCCACTGACCTGCATCCGGTTCATGGCTTCCCGGATCTGGTCAAGATGATGAGCAGAGCTGAGGGCCTCCAGTCGAATATCTGTTAATTTTAATTCCTTTTCTCTGAGCTCACTCTTCAGCTGCAGAATGATCTCGGCCTCAGCCTCTGTGCATTCACAGATCCTGAAGAAGGAAACAAACACAAAATCAGTCGTGGGGGAGCCAGAGGATCAGGAAAAGCAATGATTCTTTTAAGGCTGAACTGCAACATTATCTAGCAGCTAGCTACAGAGGTTCTTTGCTGCTGGCAAAACCTAAAGAGAAGGAGAAAGAGTTTTACAAACGGTAACACATTCACAGGTTCAAAACTGAAAGCAGTTGCTTTTTTCTTTAATCCTTTCTTCCTATTTTTCTGAAGTTTAAAAACAATGATTACTGAATACCAAGTACTCTTCAAAATATCCTTGTTGTTGATATTTGGGGGGCTGCATAGCATTACACTCTCTCATTCTACCATTTTTCAAGAGACTTACATCTCTATTTGTGACTTATGAAATATTCTTTTTTTAAAGCAGTTATGATGTTCTTAAAACATTGATCCCTCTCTCTCTCTCTCTTTTTTTTTTTTGGAAAACTGTGCAAAGAATGACATTATTTGCCACGACACTGTCTTCAAGTTACCATGAAAAATCCAATATAAATATTGTAGAAAATAAATCAGAGAGATTAGTTTTGGACATTTAAATAATGGATGAGTGTTACATAATCCTCCTGGTAGGCTCAGCTGATTTAGGAGATCAAAAAGCTAATGAAGCTAAATGACAGGTTTCAATTCATGGAAGCAGGCTCGTCGAGGGCTAATTGAAGGTCATATACGTTACTTCCTTATTATTTTGTGGTTATTGTCATATTGTGGGCAGTTTTGCAGGAAACATGGTGCAAGAACCTGTTTTATATTAACTAATAGCTTTCCCATTTGAAATGTGATGACTACGTCGTTGTTACAAAATGATAGTGCTACGTTCCTCCTCCCTATATATGTGATGAAATTATCTGGGACACACAAGCATCTTAAATGGTCCCATCAGTGGTTCTGTCCTACATGAGTCCTACGCTAGTCACCGTCGTGGGCATACAAGGACATTTGATTTAAATAATATATAAAACAGAGGACCACCGCGTCACAGTGCATGTTCTGCATTATAAAGGTCTCGTTCATTCTTGTCACATCGAATGGTGAGCTCCTATAAAAATGCTATGCCAGACTGTCTAAGGGAATTAAAGACAAATGGATTACAGCTAGGTTTTAGGAAAACAAGCTGGACCCCAAAACCAGAAAGACAGTGGTGGTTTTTATCACTGAAATGCATGCGAGCGATTTTAGAAAGAGCAAAAGCAAACACTGCTTAGGTTAGGACCTGGATCTTGGCAAGTTTCATGCATCACACGCCATTTTACCGGGATCTATGCTTGTAGATCACAGGGCCATTTTGCCGTTTCTTTGGTGGCCAGACAAGGGGTGACCTGCATTGAACGCACAGTGAGACAGATACATGGACAAGTGCAACTGAAAAGAAAACTAGACTCAGAAAAGTGGAGAATGAGATCACAAAAGCCCTCAGATTCTAATATGGGAAAAGTGAAGGAGAAACCAAATCTGTCCACAGTTCTAGGGAGATCTGAAAGCGAGGGGCACAGGTGCTGTTGCCACCGTGAGAGCACAACCCGGCTGCATTTACAACACAAACACGGGCCCGGCCCCAAGTTGTTTTATAAGAAGACTTGAGAATCCTGTAGACCGAGGGACTTACGCTGAGGCCGACTGTGAGGGCTTCATGGATGCGGAGCCGCAGTCACCCGCACCATGGGGCACTTTTGGGGACGCTGGCAGGGAGGAGTCAGTAAGCTCTTCAATGTCTGAATGTGAGGAAGGAGGCTTGGTGGACTTTTTCTTCCCAAAGGCTTGCTTGAATGAGCTTCTCAGCTGAAAAGAGGACAGAAATTACCTGTCTTGTCTTTTTGCACTTGGAGAATTTTGCTTTGGGGCGTTAGTTTGCAGGTGCCATCCTAGCCACTGCCTGGGGTCAGTATGTACAAGCAGAGTATTAACAGCTGCAGCGCGGTATCTCTAAGAAAAAAATGATACCGCGTTTGGGGTTTTGTTTTATTCCTATATTAATCCAGCGCAGCGCAAACACGGAAGGCTTTTAAATAGTGCAGGGTCAAGGGCACGGCTGTCAGAGCACTCATTTAAAACTAAGTACCTTGAAGGGATCTCCACTCCCAATGCTTCTCTCTTCAAGGCAATTTGTTTTAAATGGCCACTTTAGCGCTACAGTCAAGTCATGTCCCGCTGACAGTATAAACTTAAAAAGCAAAATGAAATCAAATTCGCCTAATACTTCATTAATTGTGATTTTCTATTCAAATTTTCAGTTCCCGTACCATTCAAAACCACAATCGGTCTCCCCTACAGCTCTATTCAGAAAGTGGTTTTTACCTCTTCTCTTTAAAATTTGAGATTAAAATGAAAAGACACAAAGAAAAGACATACAAGGTAATCTGTTTTTAAAAGGTATAAAAAGCCTACTGCCAAAATGAATAGCATTCATGCCAAGGTAGGGTATTTTTTATAGATGCATGCCAAACTGCCCACGGTTCATATTCACCTCACTTCCTCTAGAGTTCACCTTGCAGAAACATGAAAGAGTGTGGAATTACAAATCAAGGGAATGAAGGCTGATCAGTATTGTAAAATATTACCTGTATAAACATTTTTTTTAAGACAAAAAAGATATTTCTTTCATTCTTTATAGTAGGCACTCCAGTAAAATCCTCTGATAGTTAGGTTTTGGATTTCATCAACAGCTGTCCTTATTTAAAAATCTACCTTCGTTCCATGGTATTAAAAGAAATCCGTTACTGCATGGTTATGGTTTCTAAACATTTTGCTGTGATAGCATCTTCCCCTCAGTTTTTTAGCAACTGCTTTGTGTTATCATAAATTACATCCTAGTAAATGTAAAGCACTGCTCTGTTAAAGTGCATTTCTGTAGCTCTGCAATATCCCCTTGTAAAAAAACCAGAAAGCAGACACTAATAATGTAGTTGATTTCTTATGAGGTGAAGCTTTATTCACACTATGCCCCGTTGAAGTGAGAGGGGGGCAGATTTTCAAGGTTTCTTCTTTCCTTTTTTTTCACGATTCATTTCTTCTCTTCCTCCATCCCCATCAGTACTGCCACTGTCACCACCCCACCCCCACCGCCACCCCCATCTTTTCTTTCCTTATCTCCATAGTAAACCCCTGCTCTCTCAGGGCTTATGAACAGATGTCATCTTATTTCTCCTACAACAACTTTATAAAGTCCGTATTAATTATCCTATTTTTGTAGACGAGTAAAGGTGGGCCCCTTCAAAAGGTGAAGCAGCCTGCCTCAGGTCCAACTAGTAAGTGGCAGAGCTGGGATTCAAACCCAAACCTAGTCCTGGTGAAAATATACGCTCCTCAGCACCATGCCGCCCTAATTTTGGTGATGAGGGGCCAGTCACTTGAATGAGACTCTTTGTAAACTGATACGGATTTCTAAAGCTCAAGGGGGGGGGGGAGCCACCTGACTCATGGTGCAAGAATAAGTTTCAGCATGAGATGAATGACCATGGCTTACCCAGTTTTTCTTTTTCTTTTTCTTGGAGTCAGCATCATTACCACTACCAATGCTGGAATGGCTTGTGGCGCTGTTGATACTAGAAACACTCTCAGAAGAATGCTGTCTTCTGATGCGGAGATCTAGCAACAGATAGAGAGCATCACATTAGCTCCTAAAGACCTTCCCTGTGAACACATATGACTTCTAGGCTTTCTGAGAGGAAGTCCGCTAATAAAAGTCAACATGGCTTTGTACCAATGATTTCAGTGCAGTTTTGGTTTTATAAGTTTAATAAAGTACAACCTCATTTGCTTTAATTAACTGGGTTATCGGCATTAAGATTCACTGGGTATCTCATATAGGTCTGTAGCACTGGTGGTTTAATGAGTTCTGAGTTTTATCCAAAAATGAAATCCTATGCTAGTGATTTCTACTGAATACCTGGATCAAACAGATCTTCCAAAGTGATTTATTCCAAATGATTACTTCCAGGGAATAAATGGAAACTCATAAAAGCATGAAAACTAATTGTGTCTTTTTAATATTAGTGCTTTGAATAAAGCTGCCAAAGCCAAATATATTAATTTTCCATTTCATAGAATCATACCATGATAGAGCCAAAACAAACCTTGGAAGTCACTTAAGCCATTCAGTTCACAGATGATGAAATTAAAGTGCAAAAAAGTAACTTGGCCAAGGTCAAAGAGCCAGTGAGGGGAAGGTGCTCAAGAGAGAAACTGCGTTTACTGCGTGTGTAAACTAAACAGAAAACATATTTAAGGCAGTGCAATTCTTCTATCATAATCCCGCCCATGACTTGGAACAGTAATGACAATAATAATAATAACACCACATAATAGTAAAGCTAGCTTTTACTATGTGTTTACTCTGCCCTGGGATTATCTAATTTCATTCCTTTTTTTTCCCTTTTAAAGATATTATTTATTTGAGAGAGAAAAAGGGGAGCATGAGTGGGAGGGGAGGGGCTGAGGGAGAGGGAGAAGTGGACTCCCTGCTGAGCAGGGAGCCTGATGAGTAGATGAGTAGGGTTTGATCCCAGGACCCTGACATCATGACCTGAGCGGAAGGCAGGTACTTCCACTGAGCCACCTGGGCACCCCTTATCTAATTTCATTCTTAAAGCCAAGTGTTGACATAAGTTTGGTTACAGAGTAATTTTATCAGTAATTTTATCTACATAGCTGTAACACAGTAGAGCCAATCTGAGACCTAGGCAGATTCTAACGTCTATTGTGCTAATTGCCATGTGATATGGGCTTGCCATGCTTCTAAAAAGCATGTACTGCTTCTCTAGTCACACAAGATAACTTGAAAAAAAATAACATTCGATATTTAATCACGTTTTGAAGATATCCATTTACTCTATACAATCAGCTTATAAGATTTATTTATAGTTGTTGAAATTAAAATTTTACCTACTTACGGTGAACTGATATTCAGTGTTAGTGGAGACTAAGAAATTATAAAATTGTTTTGGTTTAAGATTTTATTCATTTATTCATGGGAAAGAGGTAGAGACAATAGGCAGAGGGAGAAGCAGGCTCCCCATGGGGAGCCTGATGTGGGGCTTGATCCTACAGATGCTCAACCACCGAGCCACCCAGGTGTCCCAGATTTTTAAGGTCAAACCTGCCTTAAGGCCAAATTTATTACTATATATAATTGGCATCAATGAAAATTTGCTAAGCAAAAAAATCTCAGAGGAACTTCTAAGATGTCAGAAATTACCGTATAGCTTTCAAAAAGTTTCCATAGAAACAATATTATAAAATCAAAGCCTTCCAGTTGACTGATTTATTTAACATTATAACACCCCATGACAAGGAAACTTTATAGTCATATAGGTACATATCAGTTAAGTACCTTAATTTTTCCATTAAGATAATAGTATGCTGACAAATTTTAGAGGAGGGAAAAAAACTACTTTTCAGAATTTGTAGATTTTGGCCTCTTAAAAGAACTTTAAAAAGTAATGATGAGAATATTTACTGTAGTTATATGCCTAAAATATTACCAACATAAAAACTTGAACAAAGGCATTTATTTATGTGTGCTATTTCGATTACACAGTAAAGGAGCATAGTATCCCTTAATCTATGAATATGGAAGTTATATGACTAAAGAAAAGAAGAATATGTTGGTATTTATTTGTGCTTTAAATTTCTGCTGCAGTTGGCTATAAGCTTTTGTGATCAAGATATATTTATTTTCCTAGTAGTGGACTTTGACAGATAAAGCAATTATACTAAGTGTTAAAGTACTCCAGAGTTTTTATACATCCAGAATTAATAAATTGTATTTGACTTTGATTAACTCTCAAAATTTAAGAGGAAGGGTAATTCTTATAATTGAAAGTCAAAAGTTATCCTTGGAGGTATTATTTACCTTCAGTTATGATGGGATTTACCAACAAAGATTAGCAAAGGAATGGTTTCAATAATATCATGGAATGAAAGGAATGCATTTTACTCTTTTCTATTCCTTTCTAGTGCTTGTATTTGATTCAGTACATGTGGCATCACAGAGCTTACTAAAGAATGGTTGACCAAATGGATAACAATATGAGTGAATGGAGAAGCTTTCTCTAAAAGTCTGTATTTCAGTTAGGTGTTTGTTCATTCATGCATTTCCTCTTCCTACCCTTCATACCACTACGGCCCCCCTGTTCAAGCTATCACTATCACTTACCTGCTCTACAGCAAGAATAGCGGTCCAACTTACTCACTTTCAAACCATCCAATAGATAGTAGCTAGGGAATTCTTTTTAAAAGGACAACATCATCACTCCCTTAAGACTTTTCAATAGATTCCCATTTTAATAGGAAGGAAAACATTTCAACTCTTAAACAGGACCTAAAAGTCCCTCAGTAATCTGGTCAGTATTTATCTCTCTAACCTCATTCTTCTTGTTTTACGTTTCCTCATTGTATCGGTTTCATAAGGGATTAGTCTATTTTCTATCTCAAGATTCTTCTGGAATATTCCTCTCTCAATATTTACCATATGAGTTGATAACTATTCCTCGATCTCCCCTTAAATGTTGCTATCTGGGAAAGGCCTTTCCTGACTCTTAACCTCTAGTAGGTTCTCTGGTACCCTTGCTTTCTATGGCACCTATTCTTGTCCATTTTAGAACTTATAACTATTTTGGCATACATATTCAGCTATGCCAATAATCACAACAATTGTTTATTTTCTGCTCTCCCACAAGACTAAAAGTTTAATGGAAACAAAGATTATATCTGTTTGGTTTACCATTGTATACCCACAACCTTGTATGACATGTGGTAATCAATAAGCACTTATGCGTAATTATTATTCGTATTATTCATTCAACGTAACTAAGTTTGCTTAACATTCCTAAAAATGTATTCATTGTTGATAGAAATTTACTGCGTGTTTTGTTGAACGGTTTGGTACATCTCAAGGAAAAACTATTCTATGTTTATACACAAAGGTAGTGAGTTAAAAAACAATAGTACATTTTGAAAAGTAAGAGTAAAATTTTCCATTACTTTACACAGAGATATTTATATCTCTGTGGCAGTGGGCTGCGAGCCCTTGAGTAGAGGACTTTTTTTTAAATCTTTGTTATTCAAGATCTAGTAGAGTGGCTAGTATACATCAGGTATTCAAATAACATTTGTGCATGAGTAAATAAATTCATTATATTATAGATTGCTATTATTTATCGGGCTTTGTAGTAAATGTGATGCACAAATAGAAAATAAAGTTACATTAATTAATTATGTGATTTTTTGTCATAGTTTGATCTGTCTAAAGAAGTGTTGCCTCACTCCAAAAATATATTGTAAGATTATATGTTACAGATTTACCTAACATAAATATGTAAAAGTCTCAGAAACCGAATCTCAATATGATTTCAGATTATAAGCTTATAGCTCATACAATCACTTTAATAACTCATGAAAATATTCTTTTAATATTACAAAAACCTAATCTAAATATCCCATATACACTTATAATTATTTGTCTTTGTTAGTTTTAGATCTTGTAAAAATATTTTTAATCTTTATTGACCAATTTGAATATTAATTGTTATCACTTTACTCATTTTATGCACTCCTCCCACATTTCTGAGCAGAGGAATTCCTTTTTTCAACTCCACTAGGTATATTAGGCTACCTGTTGCCTAAGATAAAAGGAATCCTTCCAGAAAGTTTTACTTCAGTGACTTGTACTGTGTTAAATAAAAGATTAAGCCTTTTAAATTCCCTTCTGGACTTATTTACGACATGAAGATTTAGAACATAAGCTGCTTTGTTATAGCTCTAAGATAAGCTTTAAATATGCAGTAATTTTCCATGTGGCATATAAATCAACTCCCCCACATGGAAAGTTGCTAAATTCTTAACAGAAGTAGCCCCTAGAGAACCAGTTTTTCCTTCAATTTAAGTATATCTCACTTTGTATAATTTTTTTCCTAAGATTTTAAATTCAAGTATTTAAAAAATTATATTTTATTTTTTTTATTTTTAAAGAAGATTTTATTTATTTATTCATGACAGAGCGAGAGAGAGGCAGAGATATAGGCAGAGGGTGAAGCAGGCTCCATGCAGGGAGGCCCATGCGGGACTTGATCCCCAGACCCTGGGGTCACGACCTGAGCCAAAAGCAAATGCTCAACTGCTGAGCCACCCAGGCGTCCCCCAAAAATTATAAATTAAAATTCAAATAAGCCCCTTTTATGTTTAAGGCACCATCACAGCCACTTAGACTGAAAAAAAAACAAACCACTTCACCATTGATCAGAAAGAGGTAGACCTTAAATAAATTAAGGCATTGAAGTATGATACGAACTTTGATAGAAGTACAGTTATTTCCAAAAAAATATCACAAAGGAACTTTATCCAGTGTAAGAGTCAAGGAGGCATACTTAGGCCAACTCTTTTAAGGTCTCAGGAAGTTTTTACACTGAACAAACAAGGCTGAAAATTTTAAGTAGAAATAAACAGAACATACAAAGAACTTTTAGAGAATTGGAAGTTCAGGATACGTAAAATATACAATATAACAAAAAAAAAAAGGCGCAAAGCACAAGGCCTAGAGCAGTGTCTAGCTAATAATAGGCAATCAATAAATACCTGCTGAATGAACAAAGTTGGTGAAGAGAGATTAAGTCATGTTAAGAAGTTTATATTTCATCCTAAAAGCAATGAGATACCTGTAGATATATGCTGTTGATAATTGCTTTGGTTTCAGTGTGAAAAACGATATAAACTGATAGAAGATGAAAGGCAGGAAGGACGTAGGAATTTGTGGTCATAGTTCAGGGGAGCGATGAGAGACGGTGATAGCATGGTCAGAGAAACAGGACAGACCCAAGAGATATTTAATGGGTGGAATCAACAGAACTTGATGATTTAAAGAATGAGTAGAGGACGATCTATGAATGACCTCTAGATTTATGGCTATATGGAAGGATGATGGTATCATTTACTGAGGCAAGAACACTGAAGGCATAGCAGGTCTAAGAGGGAAGATGACAAGTTCAAATTTGGAGATGTCGAATTGGGTGTGATACACAGACATCCAAAGATAACCAAATGGAGCTCTCTCTTGGGCACTACATTTATAGATCTGTAACTCAATAGATGAGCCCAGCCTGGAGAGATATATTACCAGTTACCAACACATAAAAGATAAGTATAGCTAGAGTATTAGATGAGCTTTATAGACTTTTGGGTAGGATAAAGAGAATCACAATGTACAAAATCATAAAGGAAGAGAGCTGAGGACTGGGTTCTAAGAAACACCAACATTTAAGAAATGGATACAAATGAATGAACCTGCAAAAGAAATTTTGAAAGAGATTTCAAAGGAACAGGAGAAAAACTAAGAATGTTAATGTCACAAACATTAGAAGAAATGAAATGTGTCAAGAAGGATGGAATGGACAGTCAGCATCAAATGCTACTTAGACTGTCAAATACAATAAGAATTTTACATGTTGTATTGGATTTAGTGTCCTGTAAGTCATTATGGGTCCTGGAGAGAACAGTCTTGGTTTGATGGTAAGAGAACCCAGACTCCAGTGGTCTGAAGTGTGACTGGCTGCTGGAGACATTAACAGATTCTATCAAATGGATTTCTCCTGGAATGGATTCACCTGTAGATGGGAAAATACATGACAGAGCATTCAGAATTTAGAAAAGTATTTTTCTAGCTGATGAAGAGCATCCTGAGTGCTGTTGAAAAGATTAGGATATGAATAAGTAGAGCCCATGCAAAGGAAAATAAATGACAGGACATGAATACAAAGCATTTCTGCTGGTGGGAAACTAAGGAGGGTGTGGTGACAAATAAGATTATTTTATTATTGTTTAGAACTGATGAGGCATAATGATAATTAAAAGCAGACTTTTAGTCTTTTTTCTTCCTGTTTTTAACATTTCTGTAGAAAGTGTACCTTTTCACTGCCTCCATCCAGAACGAGCTGTTCCCCATACCTATTATTGATATTTTATCATATTGACTATTTGATTTTTGTTTTCAGACCTAGATTTTCATACTCCTTACAGGGTGTGTTTTGCTTGAAGTCAGACATGAATGTATTAAGAAACCTCCCCATCCCCACTTTCACTAAATAGAATGGAGAAAAATGTGTGTATGACTACAGAAGCAAATTCCTTAAGCTTAATTAGAAATTATTGATAAGGAAAGCTACTGTTCTTGAATTCTGGGATTTTGACTGTATTAATACCAATTTATTCATTATAAAACAAAGTGCCCTGAGTAAAAGCAGCTTCACTCTAATAAATAAATAAAATATATCCCTATTATTATTGGATGAAAAATGGCAATATTTCCAAATATACCTTTGGGAGGGTGGTCTGGACCGTTCAGGGCTCCCTGAATAGCTGCCTGGGCAGCAGAGTTCTGGGCCTTCAGCATTTCAATGGTTTCTCTTAGTTCTATAAGTTCAGACTCCTGTGAAACAAATAGAATTTAGAAGTTTTAATACCTAGAGAAAACAGTAAAATGTCCTTGTTCATAATTCACAATCACATGGGTTTAATTTTATGTAGTACTAACATCCTGGGAGATTTGGATGCCTGATGACCCCATTAAGTCATATCTAACAATTCTTATTTGCCTAAATGTTCAGGGAAACTAAAAGAAAACAAAACAAAAACAAACAAACAAACAAAAACCTTGGTTATTCTCTTATAAATGTGATCTGAATAGCCTTTATTCCTTTTGAAGGATGGCAATTAAAGCTGACCAGTGCAACATAAAGCAAGATATCACACTGCCCATTTTATACCAAACTTATTAATGCCACCATGGTTATATCACCTCGCTAGCAGAACTGTCCAGGTGCATCACATTGCATTTACTGTCAGCCGGAAACGCTGAATTCTTGTTGAATGGATGACTTTAGATTTTGTCTCACTTACTTTGCACTTGGAGAAAGGATTCTTTATACTCAAGTATAAAAGCAGGAAGTCAGCCCTAACTCATTCCTACCAAATGGTCATCTTATTAAATTCTGCTGGGCAAGTCAAGGTCATCTTAGATTCTGATACTTTTCATCCAGTAAGATTCCTAGATTGGAGACCCAATTTTACCAAGCCAAAGCAACACAGGGATTTTTTTTTTTAAGTGAATAGAAATACATGCAATCTACATTCCTTAAATAATACTAATTCACAAAAAAAGGTAGCTTACAAATCAAATTGTCATGAAACATCTATTTTCTTATTGAACCCAGAGTAACTTTAAGATGTGTCCCACTGAACATATAAATGTGATCTTTCACATTTATCGAAGTGAATTATTTTACCAGAAATGACTATGAGGAAGAATGAGGAAGACAAGATATGTGTCTCTCCAAAAAAGGAAGTAAAAGTATTGTTTCAGCGTGGGCAGTGTTTCCATCAGGAGCTTGAAAACAAGGGGCATTCAAAATTCTTGGCAGTGGTGGCAACTCTAAAAATTAGAATTCTTATCAGTCTCTTAGAGGGAGAATTCTGAGGGAATATAATGGTCATTGATCATTTTCTCTAGCATCTTTGGCAGAAATCAAAAGAATCAGGCTCAGGTTCTTCCCTCCATAGTAAATAGGTTACTCCTACTCTCCACCTTCCAGAATATATGTAAAGCAGTAAGATCATGACAATTGCCTTTGTAGGAAACTACTTTAGATGTAAAAACATCCAGAGACTATTCTAATCTTAGACACTTAAAAAAAAAAAAAAGGACAATGCTAATTGAAATGATAGTCAAGTTTGGAATAGATACCTAGCACATCCTATAACTTTTTCTTGGCCATCTGACATATTTCTAGTAGATCACAGATATTTTTTAAAAAACCCTCTTGTAGATTTCTAATAGTTTATAAGTCAAAGAATTTCATAATGAACGGTCAGTAGCAACCTCTTGCATTCACAGCTGGGTCTTCAAGTATTTGACTGTAATTTAATTTGCATGTATTTATCATAAAAGAAAAATACCATGTTTGTGGGAAACTTCCAGGGCCACAATATAAAATTCAGATCCAATTCATCATAATTTTTCAGTCTCTCCAAATTCTTTCTGTAATTTTGTCCCTTGCTCTAATAATACATACGTTTTCCAAAACTTGATATATTTTCCATTTAAAATAAATCTCTCAACAGATAAAATGTTTACTGAAATTCATTCTGCTTTTACCAGAAAGTTATTCACAAAAGGAGCTCTGTAGCACACACTTAGCAAACCATACAATTTAAATAGCAATTTTACAACATATAGACTAAAGTACATGTTAAATTTTAATTAAAATCAGATTTTAATTACTTTACATCCTTGAATTTAAAGTCACTAGTGCTTGTACTGTAGATTGAAAAATCTGCTAGTACACTGGCCTTACGTTGAAAGAAGAAAAATGGAAATGAGATCTCATAAAAGGTCTAAAAAATACAGCTTAATTTTATGAGTAAGCTGACTTATCCATCCATTTTATGACTCAAAGTCTAAACTTCAGTCTTTTGTAGAGAAATCTCAAACTATTTTTAAAAAGATTAGAAGTGAAATGCTCAAGGAATATGGGTTTTTTAGAAAACCACATTTAGTATGAGATAGAAGAATCATAACTTTTAAAACTAGGTATCTTTTCTTTAAGGATTATTAATTTATTTGCGAGAAAGAGAGAGGGAGCAAGTGAGTGAGCACGGGCAGGGGGATTGGCAGGGGCAGAGGGAGAAGCAGGGTCCCCACTGAGCAGGGAGCCTGACACGGGGGCTCCATCCCAGGACCCTGGGATCATGACCTGACCTGAAGACAGACAATCAACTGAGCCCCCCAGGTGCCCCTAAAATTAAGTATCTTTAAAAAAAAACAACAGTTATTAGCAGGCTCCTTGTTATGCAGCATGTCACAATAGACCCGAAGGACAAATAACCAGGTAACATATCCATATTCATTAAGTCGGGAAAATCACATGTGTGAAAAAATTAGTTTAGCCACATTCATATAAGTCATTCTTCAGGGGAACTTTATAAGTATAAGCAAGGGCCTATAACATATTCCAGTGTCTTTAATTTAAAACGTAGTTAAATTTGACACTGAAAATCTGTTCAAACCTGAACTAGGTATCTCTTATCTGTAAAAATTCCTTCCTTCCTTTCGTATTTCAGTTAATGAGATCCACCTTCCACATCACTCAAACTAGAACTATCCCTCTCTCTGAGTCTTTCCATAGGATTTTTCCCTTTGCTTTAAGTATGTTTCTCACCACTAAAGGCCCTGGTGAAGTGTCTCCATACACTCGACACCTCTCAGTTTTCCTTTCAGAAAAAAAGGGTCCCTTCTCTGTGCTTCCAGACCATTTAGTGCATTCAGCTTACCTTGCTGTGGACACTTTGTACAACAACAGATTTTCACCTGATTTATGATCTCAGCAAATGTTGGGATGATTTTGTTCAAACATTCTGGTCTATGTTAAATAGGTGTTTCCTTCCTTCAAAGAATAATGTAAAGCTTCAATTCTACTTATGTTCTTAAAAACAATTTTATTTATTTATTTGAGAGAGAGCGAGAGCCAGAGAGCATGAGCAGAGGAGAAGGGCAGAGGGGGAGGGAGAAGCAGACTCCCTGCTGAGCAGGGAGGCAGATGTGGGACTCAGTGCTAGGACCCTGAGGTCATGAACCTGAGCCAGAGGCGGTTCACCCAGTGCGGCACCCAGGTGCCTGGATTCTACTTATGTTTTAACAAGAGGGTGTTTGATCATCTACAGTGCCAAAAACATCCATGACTTTATTACTCATTATAACCAGAAAGTCTGGATATGGCTAAATCGGTGAAATCATTTCCTTTGGACAGCAACAAAGTCAGGTTTTCCTTTCTCTCTTTTCCAGTGGGTAAGTATATAAAGATTAATATAGGGAGGGGTGCCTGGGTGGCTCAGCGGTTGAGCATCCGCCTTTGACTCAGGGTGTGAACCACGGCCCCAGGATCGAGTCCCGCATCGGGCTTCCTGCAAGGAGCCTGCTGCTCCCTCTGCCTGTGTCTCTGCCGCTCTCTTTCTGTGTCTCTCATGAATAAATAAATGAAATCCTAAAAGAAAAAAAAATTATAAGGCACTTTAAAATGAAAACTTGGCTGAGACATAGAAATTGTTTAATAGTTTATTTCTAGTCTTCCTTTTTTTCTCCTTCGTAATTACAGCTGGTGGTTCACAGTTATTATTAAGCTTTATTTTTCTTTATTTAAATATTTATTTATTTGAGAGAGAGAGAGAGAGAGAGCAGGAGGAACAGAAGGAGAGGGAGAGGGAGAGAGAGAGAGAATCCCAAATAGACTGTAGGGTGAGTGCAGAGCCCAAGGGGGCACCCCTTAACCAAAGATGACTCTAATGCTTAGAAATTGTAAATGCTGCTTCCAAGTACAACTATGACACACACCTTTTTTTTTTGGCCACGGTGGGGAGTGTGGGTCAGAAATATAATTAGAAGTGAGTTCTAGAAATAGCCAAATATAAAATTGTTTGATACTATGAAATATTTCCATTTAGTCTCTATATTTTGAAGGTGACCAAATGGACAATACTTCAATTTTGAGACTCTCAATTAAACTCTCAGAAGAAAACCCTGGAAAATGTATATGCCATCAAGATATGGATTTAAAGCCATATCATACTTCTAATGCAGTAGCTTCCAATTTCTACTCTCTTCATCATATACCGAAGAGAAGCTGGGGGCTAGGATAATTCTGTACAGGATCTTGGGAACAGATGATCAGATCATACCTTGTTGATATTTTTCCAATTTTCAAAAGTGGGAATCAAACTAAAACTTTGTTCACCTACAATAAGCTATTCAGATAATGATGCCACAAACGTCTGCAGATCATGTAAGATTCGAGTTTTCCATGAGAGATTCTTGTGTAAAAGAAGCCAGATGAAGTCAATATCTTTTCTAACTGCTTTGTACATGTCTCTAAACTAAACAAGTTATCAAGGTCAGACTTGGGACGCTTCAAAATGAGATGATCAAATACTTTGTCGTAAACTAGCCTTACTTGGTGTCCTTTTCAACCTAATTTTCTAACTGCATCTGACCTCTTTCCAAATTTCTCCTGGACACAGGCCTTGTTGAAAATCCCACAAATTTAGCAATAAGTCTCATCAACCAACTGGACCTTCTGGACAAGACTCTTAAAAATTTCTCCTAAATCTGTTTTTTGCTTCCTTACACCGACCCTGAGTTAATCTTACACTATCTAGCTGTAGTTTCTTGAAACACATCCCACTCCCCACACCCATGTGTGTGCCTTGAAATATTGTTCTTCTATTGAAAGAAGAAGCCAGGCCTGATTCTAAATGCACTAAGTGCATTCTAAATGCACTAAGTTCCCCAAATCCCAGTAGTGCAACTAACTTGATTCCACGAACAATATGGATTCAAATTATCCTATGTTCTAAAAGGCTAATGAATGTATTTTCCAACTCTAGTGATAATATTTTAAAAGATTTTATTTATTTGACAGAAAGGGGGGGGGGAGAGCGAGAGAGAAAGGCGGGGGAGTGGCAGGCAGAGGGTGAAGCAGACTCCCCACCGAGCAGGGAGTCTGATGTGGGGCTGGGATCATGACCTGAGTTGGAGGCAGATGCTTAACCAACTGCTTAACCCAGGTGCCCCATGACTCTAGTGATACATTTTAAAAAACACTTCTACTTTTAACCTAAACTGAGAAAAGTTAATGTAAAGACCCAATTCAAATAAAGTTTTAGCTAGTTCTACATTATCCATTTCCAGGGACTTGGATTTTCTCATTTTTAATATTTAAGCTTCTATTTATCTAGTCACCAAAAAAAGTAGCTTCACAGGGGGAAGAATGAGCAAACTCTGGACTTTACGGTTGGCATAAGGATCAATATCTGAGCTCTACGACTTAAACAAAAAGATATTCCTCCGCTGTGTCTGACATTCTTTTTTTTTTTTTAAGAGAAGGAAAGAGAAAAATAGAATAATCTTAAGCAGGCTTCATGCCCAGCATGGATTTGGACATGGGGCTCAATCTCACAACCTGAGATCATAACCTGAGTTGAAATCAAGAGCCACCCAAGCACCCCTGTGCTCAGACATTCTAATAAGACGAACCTAGTACACCTTAGTATATGTTCTAATTGCCTCTGGTACAATTGCTGGAGGGAATTAATTTGGAAGTCTTCTAATTATCAGTGAGTACAGCCTTATTAGTACATTCACCTGGATTTAGCAGTAGTTCTGAAAAAAAAATTCATTCATTAAAATACACATTTGTAGAATTCTTGCCTTTTGATGACTTGTATTACAGCCTTCCTCATCTGGCATTCTATAAGAAAATAAAGTGCTGAACGATAATTTGAATGGCATTTTTTTCCAATTCTGACACGGATGGTACAAAGTTTGCACCATTCCATGTGCAGAGAAAAGAAGTTACTTTATCATTTATAATTGATATCTCAGGGCATTAAGTCTTAATTTTCTCAAAGAATCTTGGGGGAGAAATGCTAATAAGGGACAAGGACTACAAATGCAGGTATAATTATTGATCAGACTATGTCATTGTCATAATCTATTGAGCCTTAGGTTAGGCATAGAGCAATACCTAGAGACAGCCAACAAGTATTCATGACAATTATCTTAATTTTTCCTAGTTGCAGACTTACTATTATGTAACATGAGCCTTCTAGTGGTTACTGAAGATGTTGTTAAACTATGGGATCGATCTTCATTAACTTTTATCATATTAGTCTAATGGCAAAAGCCTTGGAATGGCTCCTTGTTTTCAAGGACCAGATTCCTTAGACATCTTTCTAGCCTCAGTTCCACATTTCTCTCTACATCCCTTCATTTTCCCTGTATGTCTCCCTCTTCCCTCTTTGCTGCTCAAGCTCATGGTGACCCTTCTTTTATAACATGTAGTCCCCCCACTTTCCAAAAATTAATCTTTTTTATCCTCCCAGAGCCCAAGGGAGTCCTCTATGCCATCTCTACTCTGGAGCCTAAGTGAAGATGCAGTAGTCTCCTGTGAGTACGCTCAGGACACTCCTATACTTCCAATAGCACCCCAAATTTTCTGCCTCCTGAGTTATTCATACATGTCTTTTCTTTCTCACCAGGTTATAAGTGTATAAAAGCAGTGGTCTGGCAAGATAATCAGGATTACAGATTTGGCATCTAGGAGCAGGGAAAGATTTTAAGATACTATTCAAGGAAGTGGACTTGGTCTATACATGAAACTAAAATTTTGATACAGTTTTCAGACTATTAACGCCATATGGTTGTTGAAAATCATACTTTAAAGCCAGAAGAAGCCTAAAGACTTGGATTTGAGTCCTAGTTTCATTTACATTTGAGGGTTTGAGTCCCAGTCTCATTAACATTTCTCAAGTATGTAACCCAACCTTGACTTCTGTTGCTTCCTGTGGTAGCATCCCACCTTCACTTCCCAATATCTTCACTCTCAACATTTTCAGTGGTACTTATCTTTACCTGAAATCCTGTATTTTTATCATAATTTGTCACATACTAGAATATGATCTCTATTTTATGTTATAACCAGTTATAAACTAGGACATAAACAGTGTGTGTATATAAAATGCATATATTATATGTAATATATATGTATGTACTATATATACATGTATATATTATACACACATATATGTATTTTTTTCACTGCTGAATTCTCAGTAGCTAGAGCAGTCTTTCTTTCCTACACAGTAGAAATTCAATAGAACTTTGGTGAATGATTAAATGGACAAATGAGCCTTGGAACTCCAAGAACAGAGTTTCAAAAACCTCTGCTCTGTATGCGCTAATCTTTTCCCAGGATTGTTGGATCACCAGAGAGCAATATACCCTTTTATCTCAGCTCCCTGAAGAAATGACTTTACTGAAATATGATTAAATGCTATGCCCTCAGCTTTTAGAGAAATGTCTATTTCAACGGTGATTTTGTCTTTTGTTATTCCATGACCCCAATTTAAGAAACTTTACAATAAATTTGTCCTTGAGTTCAGTGCCAAAAAGTTTGTCTCTTCGATCTAAATTATGCTCTTTCTGGTCAGAAAATGAGAACTAGACATGCCAAGCAATCTCCCTTTGTGCCTTAGCTTCCCTGACATTCAATTCCATTCAGCGCTTTGCGGTAGTAATTACATAGGCTCGGGCATCTTGTTATATACATTCTTCTACTTGTTTTCACTAGATCCTGTTATTGAATCATGCCATATCATATTGCAATTAGTTTTATGATTCCCAAGGCCACCTTGGAAATAGGAAAGTTTTAAATCTCAGATTAATAACATAAACCACTTCCTAACATCGTTGTGTGCATGCAGCTTGCAACGAGACAAGCAATCATTTTATTTTCAGTTAAAAAAAGGCAAGGCAATTTCAGACATCACGATATCTTCTGAGAAAATTTTATAATTTTGGCAATGTTACTTTATGGGTAATGTGCACACAATGACAAAATTCCACGCATTATGCAGATGTATTTAAAAATATTCAAGGCATTATTCATAGGCATTAACAAATGCAGAGTTTTCCAATTTCCATGAGAAAATGTACTCATAAATATAAAAGAATTGTAGGCAATATGGGTTGCTAAAAAGCATTAATTTTGACTTCTTAAAGATATTGAGACTTAAACACTAACCATGATTTCAAGCAATGTTCCTGGCATATGGCCAATGATGAATTTGATTTATCCCATATTTTTTTAAGAGGAAAAAAAGGAGAGAAGTGCAAAGAAAGGTAACATGTGTTTGCCTGTCCACTGTCTGTGGTATTGCATAGTATCCCACAGCGAATCTACAAGGTTGTTATTATAAACCTGACTTTTCAAATGACGAATGTGAGGGTCAGTGAAGGAAGATTCTACAGCTCTTAGGAAGTTCCTTCGAGATTCTCACTCAAGCTTTCCCGGGCTCCAGCCTTCACACACTTTCCCACTTGGCTGCCCTACAAGACCTTGGCATCCTATTTACTAAGCTCTTAGGTTACATAGTGAAGTGGTATGATGAAAGATGAAGATAAAATCCCTGTGCTCAAAAGGCATTTGTCATCTTCCCTTACAGGGAAGATCCCGTGACGGGGAAGGACAGTGTTCTCTTTCAGGGGTGGGGGGATTCTCTGAAATAGGAGAGTGAAAAGGCGAATTAAATAGAGTTTGCTAATTACGGCAGGCTATCACAGGAATATTTGATTTTCTCTTTAGTTTAATTGGGCTGTTCATTCAGGTTTTTTTTTTTTTTAATTTAAAAAATGGTAAACTGACAAAATGGTAACACACACTAGTTCTCCAACGCTAATGACATACTTTACAGAACTGAAGACAAAACTGAAACCATCTCTAAGGATAGATCTAGGTGCTGATTCTGAAAATACCCAAAGCTTTTTAGGTTTTGCATCTCTTTGGAAATTAGATGAAAACTGTGGACATTTGCTCAAATGATGCACATATGCAGTTTTTACAAATGTTTCCATACACTTTTAGAGACTTCATCTGTCTCTAACCCCCATCCAAGGACTCAGGTGAGGGTCACCGAAGTCACGGCAGAGAGGGAAGTTACTGGTCATCCCATGGAAATGTCCAGATTCTTTCTCGGCGAAATGGACTTTTTTGATTCTGTCTGTCTTGTGAACTAAATTCTCTGTTTCTTTCTTTTTAGAATTTCTTCTCCCCCTCCCCTCCATAAAACGGATGTGAATTATTTTCAAGTTTTTGATATGAGTTAACTTTACTTTTCAAAGGCAGCACCCCCAGATGCCAACTAGACCTCGTTACTCCCAAGTGACACAAATCTTCCTGTAGCATTCCGTATTTCTAAACTTCAGCTCAGGGTCAGTGTTTCAGGCTCTTGCCCACAGACGCTGCAACAAGAGTCCCCTGACTTTAGAGAGTCCTCGCATCTCCTCCAGACTTTCTCCACCGGTATCTCCAATTACTGCCATGGTCTCTATCTGGGCTTACAGACCATGAGTTTGTGAAAATGCTTGTCAGAGTGCAATTCTTGTCAACTGCATGACAAACTGTTCCTAGAATATTCTAACTCTTCTCATATATGACTGTTTCTCTTTCTTAACATTTGGTATTCTTTTAATAGGTCCAATCAGAAGTAAAATAATAGACTGCCTGGAAAGAACTTGTGTGTGTGTGTGTGTGTCCTAATATGGATCAAACTGAATCACAAGTCTTTAAAATCTGAAAAGAAAAAGTATTATCTTGCCATTTTCCAATTTAGAATGGAATGGATCCCCTCCAGTATTATGCTTAAGGAGCTGCAGGTCATGCATTGTTTAAACATCCTATGCAACTTGCTGTCTTATTTCAAGCCCCTGTGGTCATTCGTGAACATACCTTCTGTTCTGCTGTCATGGTTAGACTCTGCAGCCGGCCAGTCATATTCCCTAAGCTCTTTTCAAAAGCTGCTACGAGGTGAGCCTGTGAACAAGATGGAAGGAACACATTTTAAATGTCAGAACCTTGTATATGGATGGATGGATGAAAACTCTTGATTTTATAAAATGCTCAATTTCAGGTATTCGAACTTTTTAAATACTATGACCATCACCGTTAGCTTTCAGTGATGACGCTCCCTTAACACAAATTTTTGTTTATCATTTCTAAACTTCAGTTTAAATTCCATCTCTTGACATTTAATGTGAATTCAACTTCTGAAAAGGGATGGTATTTTGCAAATAATAACACCTTCTGACTTGCATATCACAGAGGACTTGACACCCAAAATACAGAACACTGTTCTGAGGTGCCAAGTTTTTAGACTTAATGCTCAAGAGGAGGTCCCTGCAATAGCCAATGGACAAATGTTTCTCATTTTTATACCTCCATGATGACCTTTGAAGATATTGTTTGCTCCTTTATTGTACCGATACTCTCCTTCTAGTGTCAGACATCTGCTGACAGCTATAACATTACCTTTCCTCTCTTCGTGCTTACAACAGAATGGTATCAGAAAGAGTTGTCTTCACTTTCCAAACTCTTTACAATAAAAGGGCTTTTATTGCTACTTTATTCCCTTCAACGAAGGAAGTACAGGTAGGCCAGCTAGAAATAATATTCAGTCATATTTTATTTAAGTTTTCATGGCTTTCTTTTAAATCTCAGGGAATTACACTTATTGCAGTATAAAACCCAAACTCTTTTTTTTTTGATAAAACCCAAACTCTTATGATTAAGAGGTATTTGACAATCTCACAGCTCTAAAATAGGCCAGGTTCTGTTGACATGCCATTATCTATCAGCTTCATCCACACAGAATATTAAGCTTGAAGAGGTGCTTCAATCTCTCACTGTTGCTTGAGGAGAACTACAGGTGTGTTATCTTAAACCGATCTACTTTTATTGTGCCCTTACAAAGACATGATGATAGAATTTATTTTACAACCTACATCGCTAATAAACTATGTGTGTGTGTGTGTGGGGGGGGGTTTGGCAACCCTCGGCCAAAGATTAATTTTTTGAGAGAAAGGAGTAAAAGGACTTACTAAAGTATATCACCTTGTAACTCTCACAGAGCTGAAAAGCTGAGGTAGCCATTATCACATGGATTGCAGGAGTCCAAAGGATTAGGGCACTAGAAATTTATTCCATTATTCGTAACAGAAAGAAGTGTATATTCCACTACTGGTAACAGCTAGAAGGTACAAGTCCCTTCCATTAGGATCACGATACAAAGGCGTCCTTGTTCCTAGCTCTGAGCTTATCCTGCGCTGCTCCCCTCCTTTTCCTGACACAACAATATAGAGAAAGATAATTTGTGGAGGATACTTCTTCTATTAATCTTCAGTCCACTGATACAAACTTTTATTCTTTTTCCACTCTCTCCTGCCTCTATCTCATTTTCCCACCAAATCTCTCTCTTTCTCTCTCTCTCACATGCACAACCATGAGAATCATACTCCAAGGTTAGTTAGCAGATTTAATATGATAAATAATACTCTTTTTTCAAAAAAAAAGGGATAGTATCTTGAGCTTAAAATGTTTTCAGTGATAAGGAATATCATTGCATCAGGCTTCATACATCAGAAATTAGCTTATGTTCCATTCTCTCATATGTAACCTTTTTATTGTAAGAAAATTTAAAAAGAGAACAAAAGCATATTAAATCATATAAATCATATTAAAAGTGAACAAAATGAAAAGGCACAGCTCATTGTTTTCTCATGCAGTGAACATTCATACACTCACCAGCCAAGTCAAAAAATAGGACAAGTGAAGACCCTAGAAATTTTCCCTTATCTTTCTCTTATTACTGTCCCCTCTCCCTTTCCACAGATAAGCACTTATGGTAATGATTGTCTTGCTTCTCTTTTTAGTTGCATCCCTAAACACTTTATTTTAGCTTTGTCTATTTTTAAAACTATCATAATGGAATCATATGGCAACAATTTTTTTGTGACTGTTTTCTTTTTCTTAACATTGTGTTTCTGAGAGTCACCCATGTGGTGCGTAGCAGTAGTTAGATTTTGCTGTAATGCATTGCTCCATGTGACTTATAATATATTTGCCCAAATATAATATATTTGCCCATTTGCCATGATTTATAATATATTTGCCCATTATATACAATGGGTTACTAAATCCTAAAATAAAATTGCTCATTTTCTCTTAGAATAGTGAAAATTCTGGCCGAAAACCACCATTAATATTTACTAAAAGTAATGCAGGAATCTACTCAATATTGCAATTTTAATTCTCCAAAACAACTGTAAGGCTTAATTATTGGATATATAAACTTGAATGTATAAACTTGGAAGAAAATTTAAACTTTATCTTCTATGCATATTTTCTCAGTTAAACAAGAGTTAAAATATGGCAAAGAAAGTAGGAATGTGAATATGCTGAATAAATGTACTGCCTGTATTTTTTAGCTATTAGTTAATACAAAATGTTCACTATGAGATTGTCAGTTTTCAATCTTTGGAACATTGGTGTTCACTAATTATTCATAAGAAAATGTATAACCAGTTACCAAAGAACATTTTGAGTCACATTGTTCTCTGTGAAAAATATGCTAGAGATGTGTCAGTGAAACACTGCTTTATTTAAATTTATGTTATGCTTTATTTAAATTATGCTTTATTTAAATTATGTTGCCTTGCCTCGGTTATCAGATTAACTTTGTTACTTTGAGTTAATACAAGGTTAAATTTCTCACCAATTGGATTAATGGAAAGAGAGTACAAGAAACAAATAATAGAAACCATTACTACCAGTGATGATCTTTCTCACCTCAATGGAGAGAAAATAAAAAGCAAAAGCAATTGACAATAGGACAATAGATCTTATCTGAAAAACTTAATAAAATGGTGACTTTTTCTAAAATTGTGGATTTTTAGGGGGATTATTGATCATGGTTTACTTGGTTTCGACTTTTCTCTTAGCAGCTGCATAATTTTCAAGCCAGAGTAAAACTGTATCAACATAATGAATATTCCCTGACTTGTGTTAGGTGAAGTCCGTCAAGAGAATAAAACAGACATAACTGAATATTAGGTAAGGGAAGGTATTTCTAATACACACTGTCTTTAGTTTTGGAATTCTATAATATAATCTGAATATAATCTGGATCCTTACATAAAGAGAATTATTGTGCTGCTAAACAGTAAGATGAAAGGTTATGAAAAAGTACCAGCATTATATTTATTCACCCAGAATTTAATGACAGTCCATCAACCAGAAAAAAAATATAGAGATTTATATGGAGATGTATATAAATGTGACTTTACATTTGAAAATCAATAGATGAACTGAAAAGGACTCTGAAGGTATCATAAATAAGGTTTCACATTTCTTTTACACAATATAAAATTGTTCCTTCAGTGTTTGCCATTGTTAATACGTGCAAAACTGTTTTCTGTGAAAGGAGATACAGAAAAACGAGAGTAACCGCCAGAATGTATAAAAGTATTAAATATGCAACGCCTGGGGGGCTCAGTGGTTGAGCATCTGCCTTCAGGGCATGATCTTGGGGTCCTGGGATCGAGTCCCACATGGGGCTCCCTGCATGGAGCCTGCTTCTCTCTCTGCCTGTGTCTCTGCCTCTGTGTGTCTCTCATGAATGGAAAAATAAAATCTTTAAAAGTAATAAATTAAAAAAAATTAAAAATAGAAATATTAAATAGAACAAAAAAAAAACAGGACACAATCCTAAACAAAAGAACACCTGAGAAATTTTTGGCTAAAAGACCGATGTGCTGAAAGGCAAAAAAAAAAAAAAAAAAGACCCTCTGTTTTGTGACATATTCATTCAGTGGTATCTTTCAAAAATGGTAATAATAACTAGCCTTAGTGCCTACTTCTAAATATGTAAGAGCTGAGATTCATCAACAAAATATATTATCATGCCAACAAATGCTTAGCACCTGATTTGGCAGTAGGAAGGTGTGGGTGAGAGGCTGGGGGGCCAGCTGACTGTAGGATATGGCCATACATACATTTGCAGTGGCTCGCTGGTGGGATCATCTTTTCCTCCTGTTCACACGTGCTGTATTGATTCGGGGAGGTCAGGCAGTAGCACCTGCCAACATACCCTCTTTCCTTTCTAAAGACATCCTAGTAGAAAGTGCTTTACAGAGAGTCCTCCCAGGGCTTTATGTAGCTCTCTGATCAGAGAACCTGACAAGTGGATGGGAAGATTCACTGCATATTCTACTGAGTGGAGGTTTACCCTGCTGGTCAAACGAAAAGTGAGTTGGCTGGGCACCTTTCTAATTTACCACTGCTATGATTTTGTTTTTGTTTTTTAAGATTTATTTATTTGAGAGAGAGAGAATGCGAGCCAGGGGGAGGCAGAGGGGGAGAGAGAGAGAATCTCAAGGAGAATCCACACTGAGCATGGAGCCTGACTTGGGGCTTGACCTCACAAGCCTGAGATCATGACCTGAGCCCAAACCAAGGGTAAGATGTTTAACCAACTGCCCCACTCAGGTACCCCTAATGCTGCTCCTTTTAACAAAGTGGGGAAAAAAGCACTATATATATATATATATATATATATATATATATATATATATATAATATTTTTTTAAGATTTTATTTATTTACTCCTGAGAGAGATAGAGAGGCATAGACACAGGCAGAGGGAGAAGCAGTCTCCATGCAGGGAGCCCGACGTGGGACTTGATCCCAGGACCCCAGAATCACATCCTGAGCCAAAGGCAGATGCTCACCCACTGAGCCACCCAGGTGCCTCTGAAAATGGCATTTTAATAGATAAGCAGGTAAGTTTCAAATTTAAAAATTAAAACATGGATTATTGTGTGGATTCCATATAAATATAATTATGTCAGAAAAAATATAATTATGTCAAGCCCAAACACAGATCAATTGACAGATCAATTAACAACACAACAACAAAAAATCCCCAAAGTAAGGAGAATCATTTTAGTCCTGATAGAGTGATTCATATATTGAGTAAAAAAATCAATTATCTGGACACTTAAATAATCATTAAATAAAAAGTTAACAGTTAATGATATTTTCTACAGAACCAAATCCATTGTAATTCATCCTTATAAAAATCATGGCTCTTTTACTACTTCACTTCTATACAATAATGCTCATTGTAGTGATCTTATGCAGTTTAAATAAACTAAAACAATACAAGGTTTACTCCTACTTCCAAAAAGGATTACAAGATTAAAAATAGTTTTTGACTTAAAGAGTTCTGTACAGAAATAATTTTATTCAGTCTTATGACAGACTTAACTTCTGCACATGTATATTACATGTATATATTACATACATCAATAGATATTAACAGATATCTGAATTTGTTAATTTGAATATCTGAGCATATTCTCTGAATGAAATTTAAATGCAGTATTTTTTAGAACTAAGAAAAAAAATATTAACTAAAAAATCCTTTGATGGCTCATTATGCTCTATGGGAACTTAAGTGACATTATAAATCAAATGTCAAAGAAAGTCCAAGATAATTTGCAGTTAATAGATAATTCATAAGTAATTCAAATTTTTAAATGTACAAAAAAGTTTGTACATTTAAAAATACAAGTTGACATAGATATATAAGATGGCTGAGTAGTAATCCATGATAGTTTGTTTTATACAACAACCCCTGAAGGGATATTTTGGTTGTTTGCAATGTTCTTTACTGTTAAAAAATAAAGTTGCTAGGTATAGTTTTTTGTGTGGCTCTTAGGTGATTTAAGAAGATTTATAAAATGCATTATGAAGTAAAAAAAGAAAAGGCCTGCAAAATAGGATATAACTTAGGCTCCCATCTGTGAGCAAAAGGCACAGTTAAGATAACATAGATGTGGGTAGGGGAAGCTGGAGACATTTGGGCATCTTCTCTAAGACTAGAACTTGATAAACAAAATCACCTATTTGACACTACTTGCTCTAATTCTGTATTCATTCCTTTTTTCATTATTGTTCCTTGAGGAAATATTCTATGCTTTTTTTCCTAATCACCCCTTTCCTCCATGACATTTTAATACCATAGATATGATGGATACCTGTCCATGTACTCTATGAATAACTGTGCTTTATGCATAAAAAAGAATAAATTTTTTTCACCACCAAAATCGATTTTCACCCTCTGGTGGTCATATTGATGCTCAGCTGAGACTACATGAGCCAAAGTAATGAAAACACATCAGTGATAATCAGTGTGGCATGCATGACTGGAGAAGAAGTGGTAGGTAGCCAACGGCTGTCACCCTTAAAAAATTTTTGCTCCTTTCCCAAACAATGGTGCAGAGTCATATTTCAGGACTAAGGACTATTTCCTCAGGTTAAAATTTGGTTGCTCCTCTGTGTGTGTGTGTATACAAGCCTTTGCAAGTGTGTACTGCATATATCTCTTCAAAAGATCAACACTGAAAAGAAACATAAGAAACCAACCATTGAATATTGTGCAGTCATAAGAAAGGATGGGATTGTGCCTTTTGAGACAACATAGATGGATCTTGACGTATTATGCTAAGTGAAGTGCAAATGAAAGAAAAGAGAAAGACAAATGGCATATGATTCCACTCATCAATGCAATCTGGAAAAAAACAAGCAAACAAAAAGTAGAACCAGACCTATAAATATAGAGAACAAATTGATGCCTGCCTGCGGGAAAGTGTGGGGCAATGGGCAAATAGGTGAAGGGGAGACGGAGATCCAGGCCTCCAATTATGGAATGAGTAAGTCACGGGAATAAAAACCAGAGCCTAAGGAATATGGTCAATGATAATGTAATAGTGATGTAATGGAACAAATGGCAGCAACTCTTGCAGGGAACACAGGAGAGTGTATACATTGGTCAAATCACTAAGCTGTACACCTGAAACTAATGCAACACTGTGTGTCAACTCTACTCCCTCCACCACCCAGGCCCCCAAAAAGAAACCAACAACCATGTTTAGGTAGGGTGTCTGAGGGAAAAACAAGTATATGTCTTTTATTACAGACTTGTTTTTAGTTTCAGTTTTCCTTTTTAATACAAGAGGCACATAATGTAAAGCTTTTTAAATGGCAATAGTTTAAAAATTGTTTATGGAATTTAAAAATTCCATAATGTATAGCAGATGTTTATTATTAATGTCTGAATATATAAACCCATGCAAGAGACATTTACACAATAAAAATAAAATCCTTCTATTTTAATCGTTATAGACATCTATAAATATCTTGACCATCCAACGAGTAGGGTCTGCCACTGAGCCTTCCTCGTTACAGATAAATACAGCCCAGTGTGTTGGCATTTACATTGTCATTTGTCCTTTGGGTACAGATTCAGGAATGTAGACAGAGTGTTTTATACTCTTATTCACTAGTCTGATATAAAATTTATAGTTTCTTCTGAACTATTTCTTTAAGGATTCTTCCTAGATGGAAAATATGGGTTAAATAATTCTGTTGTCTCTTCCAGTATTGCCTAAAAATTCTCTAAAACCTGCTATTATTTTTAACGATTCCCTAACATCTATAAAAATAAATACAGACAATCCAAAATTAATTTTATCCTCCCAACATTGAAAAGATAAAGTCAATTCAAGTACAGCCGTAAAATGAATACACTGTCAGTGAAATGACTCACTTCTATGCTGTGGAAGTTGTATGACACAAGAATTTTCATCCTTAAAATCTCTCTTAGTCAAGTTCATACCCCGTGGGCCTACTACACCTGCTCTCTCTTGCTATGTCATGCTTTGTCTGGGACATAGAAAACCTCAATGGAGAGTAGAGATCGATGAGGCAGACGAGAGGTCCAAAGCTACACGGTTCAACTGAACAGATTAGTGTTGGATGAAGGTGGCAAGACAAATGGCAAAACAGCAGGAGCTTCCCTACCCCTCACTGGTGCTCCTAACACTACTGTTCCTTAGGACCAGGCACCATGCCACATGTTCTCCTGTATTATTCTCCATCTATTCTGAGTATTCCCTGGCACGTGGAAAGATATTCAATAAATGTTAATACTATTGATGGTCTTCACTGGCGTCATTTTTGCCATTCGCAGCTGGCCAAACTGCTGTGAGAAGGCTGCCAAAATTTTTAAGAGAACTACCTCTCATTTACAACATAGCTCAGATACTCAAATGTCATCCTAAGTTAATTTTTTTAATTTTTATTTATTTATGATAGTCACAGAGAGAGAGAGAGAGAGGGAGGCAGAGACACAGGCAGAGGGAGAAGCAGGCTCCATGCACCGGTAGCCCGATGTGGGATTCGATCCCGGGTCTCCAGGATCGCGCCCTGGGCCAAAGGCAGGCGCCAAACCGCTGCGCCACCCAGGGATCCCCTAAGTTAATTTTTTTATATATAATTAATTGGATGCTTAACTAATTGCCCAGTAAATTGTGCTGAAGAAGGCAGGGCACATAGAATATTTTATCTTCCAGAATTAATCACTATCAACCCCCAACCGTATTGTGGCTGGAAAAAAAAAATCTATGGAGAGTAAAAAAAGACATAAGAAATAACCCTTGTAACTGTGACTAATGTCTCCAACCTTAGAAGAAACAAAAGGCCTTTTAACCACATCAGTTTGGGTTTACATTTTAATACTCAGTATGCAGGAAAGTTTACCTTCATATGACTGACTGAAGACTTTATTTTTGGCCATTTAAAATTTGTCTATCTGTTGCTAAAGTTATTCCATTTACTACTTACATATCTGTTTAGATGTATCAAAAAATAATCACAAGTGACTTACGTTTGCTGAGAGTTGAGATGTGAGGGTAGCAACTTTTTCTTGTGACGCAACCAGCTCTCGCCGCAGTTTGTGGATTTGCTGAATATAATTTAAAAAAATCAATTCAATATATTTTTACTTAAAACTAAGAATTCAATCCAAGAAAGTAAATGTTATATTTACTCATGCAACCCCTTAATTAGTGTATCAGCACCAATTCCTGAAAAAAACAAAGAAATGTGAACACTAGCTACACAGTAATAGTCAAATGCCCTTATTAAGAAGAGCGGTAAGTTACTGTTCAAGGTTAGGACCCAAATTTGCAAATTAAAGGATGTTTGCTTGCTCTCTTGCCCCATCTGCCTGACTCAAGAATCAAGTTTATTTTCTCTATTAATTCTCCTACTTCAGGGAATTTGTGGTAACAGAACTCAGGCAGTAAGATCTTTTCTTTTTAAAAATTAAATATACATAGACACATTTTTTCTGGGTCTTTTAGCAAAAAGTACTGAATGTTCTAGCATGGCATTGAGCATGGAGTTTTAGCAAAAATACTCAGTTTTTTTGGTGTGTGCTTATTTTAATTTTCTGTAGTTTGGCAATTTCTCAGAAGCTGTGGAATATCCTTTAGTCACTGAAAGATGGCTGTAATTCCACAAGTAATGAGTCCATATTTGGAAATAATTTTATTAGCTGGAGTTTCAATGGCTAACAACCAGAGAAGCCTTCCCAAATCTTTACTGTAATGCTTTTTATTCACAGAGTTATTATTAACTCAGAGTAGTAATGCTTTATAGATTACCTATAGTTTAAAAGTAAGCAGAAAAATTAGTAATACTGTTCAAATAAGATAAGCCAACAAAATTAATATGCTAAAATGTCTTCTTCCTTAGCTAAGTTCACATTGTAATAAAACTGAACCAGAAAAAAGAGAGTATTTCATATCACATTTAAATTGTTAATATAAGCATTCTCTGCAGTTGAACCTGAATGTCTTATGTTGCTAAAACATGTAAACACAGATTTAGTAAGGTAAAACATTTACAACCATCTGAGGCTAAGTCTGTAAGTATATTTCTGGTCTCAAGGGATTTTAGTTACTCAGATGCCAAATATTCTACTCTAATTCTTCTCATTTCTGTGAAAAGAAGTCTTCTATTGTTGTGGCTGGACATTTGGAATACTACCTCAGTTTGAAAGAGCATTCTTGACATAGTCCATTAACTGTCTTATTTTTTTCCCCTCTTGTGGAAAAAAAAATGGTAGTCAATATTGCGAGAGTCAAAAAGGAGCTGTGAACTTTAAGCTGGAAGCAGAGACAGTGGACATTTATTATAATCTCAGTAAATGTGATTCTGTTTCACTCCTGTTTTTTTTAAGAGGTTCACTAGCCCCAAATAGCACTTGACTTGCATTTGAATGATGACGACCACAGATAGTCCCAGAAAATAGACCACCTATTTTATCTTAAACCTACAAATTCAAACAGCCTTTCTCAAATTAATAATCTCCATTACATAATACTTTACAATGAAATCTAGGAAAACTTAAGGTAATGTAAATTATTTAAAAAAAAAAAAAACATGACCCATTAGGGGCAGGAATGATACAAAGGGGAGTTGGGTAAGTACTAATCAGGCAAATAGGCAGCATTCGAATACCTCAGTAGTTACATTATGACCAAATTAGAAGCACTGTCCTGTCCATGCAACATAAATAAAATAGTATAGTTTTTTTTTTTTTAAACCATATTTACTTTTTTGGTCTAGATCATCAGATTGCTATAACCAATACTATTTCGATACTTTAAACATAGCACAAATTTTACTTTAAAGGCAAAGTAAGGCAAGGAATTCCATTGCAAAGGCTGCCGCCAAGACACTGGTTTTCTCTGTGGTCTGACTGCCTCAGTGTCAACCAATCAAATAGTCATTACCACACCTTGAATAAAGGCCTAATTTAAGTCCTGCTCTCCTGGGATAGGACAATTCTTTTACAAAGGGAAACCAAAAGAACACTCTCCAGGTTGCAACCTGACCTGTGCATGATTGCGACAGGGTGTGTATTTGTGAAAAGTGTGTGGTCAGAACAATGTAGCACGCTAGACATAAAGTGGTGGTCAGAACAGCAAAGTCCTGGCATGAAGAGATAGGCTGGGATGCCGGGAGCTTCTGTTGTGGAGATGTGGTGCCTAAGACTCAACACTACATTAAATCCTATGCAGTTAGTCTCATAGGCATTGGTGAGAAGAGACGACAATAAGCGAGGAAGACCACACATCCATTCATTCATCGGGTTTAATGAGTGCTTACTACTGCAGGCGATGGTTAGTTGTTGATATAAAACCCCATTCTAGAATGTGAGAGGAGAGTTTGCTTTTAAGAACTTCTTTTCATTTTCTTTATGAGGAAGCACCCAAGACCATTTATCAACTAGAGGATCGCGTCTATCAGCCGTGCTGGAGAGCTATGCCTCTGTATCACAGAGCCCTCTACTGGTAGAAGCGTTCATCACAAGTGTACACAAAGAGCATCAAATTCAAAAATGCTACAAATTTTACCTCTGAATGAGCCTTTTCTTCAGCCTGTAAAAGACAAAAGGTAAAAATTATCTATAAATATAACTAATGTCATTTTGTTCCACAAGTATAAATGAGTAATTTCATTGTATAATTATACTGTATTTTCAAAATGTTACTATGTTCCAATATAAGACTAGTAAAATACGTAATATTATTATAGTAAAATACATGTTATTTTATCATATTGTTACAAATGATTATGATAGTGATGTTGTATTTATATAATTATGATATTATTATATTATTATAATAGGAACCTTTAAGATTACAAACGAATGCTTCCTTATATATATATATGATTCACTGAAAATGTAGGTTATTTGATTCATGGACATATAATATGCCTTGCAAGCAAAGTTAGAATTAAAGATTTTATTTATTTATTCTTGAGAGACACACAGAGAGGGGCAGAGAAACAGGCTCCCTGCAGGGAGCCCGACGTGGAACTCGATCCCAGGACTCCAGGATCATGACCTGGCCTGAAGGCAGATGCTCAACTGCTGAGCCACCCAGGTGTCCCGCAAAGTTAGAATTAAAAGAACATGTTACCCTTAGAGTCAGACCATAAGCAACAAAAGCAAAACAAGTCATAAAATTATATCTTAAAAAAGATGGGTGTAGGAAAAAAAGGAAACATTACATTTTTTTTTTCATTCATATTATAGAAAATACACTCCATGCTCTATAGAGATCTTCAGGCAGGACTTGGGTGTCGGAGTTTTATTTTGGCTTGGATTTAAACACAAGCACACAAACCCTTTTATGATTTACACATCATAAAAAAAAATCTCAAATAAAGCCGGAGGGAAAATATTGACCCTTACTGATAACCACAGAAAATCAGTTTCTATCTTCTTTTATTGTCCCTAATGATTATTAATGAAGTTTATGGAGCTGCAAGCCAGCAAAGAGTAAAATGCCCAGTGTCAAGGTGGAGATAAATGTGGCTGACAAACATCTGGGTTATACACATTATGGAAATGAGGACTGCTATGAGAGCTTGCAGGCTGTTTTGGACTCAGTTGCAGAAAATTCCCAGCTCTGTTTTTTCTTCTATTTGCTGGGCTGCAAAATGCCAGAAAATGAGTTATGTGTGCCATTATGTTTGGGAAGCTCCCTTATTCTGGAAAAAGCTGGAGAATGAATATCGCTGAACAGTACAAATCTGCTCATTGCCTTGAGGTCTGAAAGTGAAAAAAAGCCCCTTATTTCCTATCTCTCCTTTGGGGACACTTTCCAGTTAACTGATGTAGAAGTACCTGAACTACTTTTTCTCTTTTTTTTTTTCTCCAGAAAACATAAAATAAAACAAAGCAAAATAAACTTAGATATTTTTATGCATAAGCATTTCTGGAGTATTCTCTTTCCTGTATTTTCTCTGCTCTTAAAAATAATGTATAGTTAATAATAAAGTGTTAAAGTAATAGAGTGGTTAAATAGTAGAATCCTAATGGCCTGTAAAGAAAACTATGTTTTAAAAATAAATGCTAACACGAAACTTGAATATTTTGCAGTTCAACTTTAATTTTTAAGGGAAGATTTTATTTTTTTGATTCTAATAATATTAAGGTGTCAGATGTAGTCTGTTTTTGAATCAGAAGTAAGGAACTAATTTTAAGATTAGTTAGGGAACTAACCTTAAGATGGAAATTTCATCTTAAAGCAAAAGAAAGCTGGAAGTTGTTTGCCTTAAGACAAATGTGCAATTAACCAGGACTATTTGTTTTCCTTAGAACTTTGCCTGTTCATTGCCACTATATTCTGTCCAAATGCTGTTTAAGGCCTGTTAGGATTATATGAAACTGATAATAAATAATTTGAGCATTTTAAAAAAGCAATGTATTCTACTTAAAAAATAAAAAGGCTATCCATCATATCTTCTCATTAAAAAAGCCTTGAATAAGTTATATATATTACTCATAAGCATAACCATTACATATTAATTCTGTAGGTATCGTATATAAACTCTTTTCTTATTGTTGTTTTTTCAGAACTCTCTCTTTCCTTAATCTTTCCCTTCTTTTATACCCCATGACTATCAATACCAGGTAAGGTGTTATCATAAAGTCAAAGCAGTGAGGCAGAATTTTAATATTGTATTTCTTTCAGCGATTTAGGCATGAGATAAAAAATGATGGAATGTGATTACTTGCCATTTTTAAATGACGGTGTTGAACCAAGCCCAGTGTTCTAAAGGATGGTACACAGTATAAAACATTTTATCTAAATACAAATATATCAGATGACTCTTTATTCTATGAACCATCAACCTGCCATTCATTCACCCGAAGTTACTTAAAAAAAAAAAATTCCTTCTTGTATTAGCTATAGGTTAGGAAATACGCTAATGAACCAAACATGGCCCCTGACCTTATTAAATCAACATAAATTAGATTCCAAGTACAAAACAGATCCAATAAACTTTTTAAGACACAATCAGTCAGAAAGAACCTATTTATAGCAAGGCTAAAAGGGCCAGGAATGCAAAGAATAAAAAAAGGCTCTAGAATTAAAAAAAAAAAAAAAAGTCACACAGCCTTCCTTGACTAATGTTTATTTCCCTCACTTTTCATAAAGATGTGAGTAATAAGAAGTATGTCTTTCCTATATGAAAAGTAACAGCACAACAATAACTAAGAACTGAAACTGAGGAAGAAAAGAGGTAGAAGAAAAGAAGAGGTGGTGGGGTCTGGAACCAAGCCTGGGAACTCATGCCAGCATCTAAAGGGGTTGATGCCAAGAATCTGTAAACCTGGAGGAATTTAATCTCAGTGTTGCTAGATATTCCGATTACATTAAAAAGAATTTAGTAATTTGCACTTTTAGATAAAAGCTCCGGATGTCACAGCGTTGGCTTGGATTTAAACACAAGCACACAAACCCTAAGTTTGCCAAAGGTAATAAGTTGGCAGATTAAACTAGGCCTGTGATTCCCAAAGAACATGCAAATTCCCTGAATCTTTCTGCTCAGAAATTCCATAAGGTGATATACTTAACTTTATAACAAGATACTTTGGAGAAATTTACCAAACTATAAGTGGTAGAAGCTTCAAAAAAAATGTATAGGTGAAGAATCTGTACAACGAGATTTGTTAAATCGGTGATTTTATAGGTAAATGTTTTTTGCAAAAAGCCTTTTTATTAGTTTAACTTCAAGTGACATACGTACAGCAAAATATATAATTCTGTAAGTTGTATAAATGATGTCAGAGGAAACATGATTTATACTCACGGTTCATAAGAACAGTATTTTGCCTGATAAAAGCAGATAGAGCCTAATATTGTTCTTAAAAAAAGGAACTTCGCCCCCCCCATAGACACTTAAATTCTTTTATGAAGTACCACCATGCACACCTATGTTAGTTGAATACTGCATAATCTCAAAAGATGCAATTCACATAGACTATGGTATAAACAGTGCTCCTAGAACCATGTAGTATACCATAATTTTTGTTATTTATGGTATACAACATTCCTGGTCTTCTCTAATAATTACACCAAACCCACGTGACAGATGGGATAGATCTGACTGTTGTTTTCCAATTTTATTTTATAGGTATAGTCCAAAGAAACCTAGCAATTTGCCTGATGTCATATAATAGCTGCTGATAGAGTTAGGCAAGAATGCAAATCAACTGAATCCTGATCCACAGTCTTTAAGAAGGCATGAAAAATGATAAATTGCCTTTTTACTTCATGGTTTGAAAAGCACTTTCACAGATATTTTCTCATTGTCAGTGGAGACTCAGTGCATGATAATAGGGGACAGAAAACTGAATGACTTCTCATTATCTTTGATTTTTCTCTTTATCAGTCCTTCAAATATGCATTTATTTGAGTTGTTCAACTCTAGGTTATTTATGAGTTCAAGAATATAATTTCAGTCATTTTCTGTACAATTAGTTAAATTCCCTAATATCCTAACAATATCACCTTTCACATAGCTTGATCAACCAACCCATTCTTTTCACACATAAGGGTATATTTCATTTCTAAATTTTGGCACATGGGTATGCATATATAGTCATTTTGTTTTAATCTCTGTTCCCATTTTATATCATTCCCTTACTATAATCTCCTCATTTGTGCTTTCTGATTATCCTTACCATTTTGACATCTACTCTTACTCCTCAATCTCACAACCCTGAGATTATGACCTGAGCTGAAATCAAGAATCAAATGCTCAACTCAATGAGCCTATCTACAATTTTTAAAACGTACCTGCTTTGTTCTCGATAAGCCTGCAATAGCCAATAGAGTAGCTACTGGGCACATGTGCCTATTTAAATTTAAATTAATTAACTTAAAAATTCAGTTCGTCTTGTAATACCAGACATGCTGCAAATATTCAACAGCCACATGTGGCCAGAGGTTACTATATTAGACAGTGCAGCTATAGAACATTTTTATTATCACAGAAAGTTCTATTGGACTCTGGTACATAGTAATTGGCCATCTGTTTTCCTTTAACCCACGTGCCTTTTCTTCTTAGTCTGTCTCAGGCTGAATGAAGGCAGTTTTATCCAAACACTGTTTTTGCATGTATTTAAAAATACTATAAACATGCTGCATCTCTTGATTCTATCCTATACAGAGACTTCAACCAAAATGGTTTAAGTCAGAGCACATCCCCTCAACAAGCAGTGGCGCTGGGCCAATTAGGAGGGACACTAAGTGTGAACACGTTTCTTTTATGTGTTGTTTCCCCCAAACATTGCACCTTTCTCACTTCTTATCCATTTGCCTTCAATTTACTGCCTAAAGCAGTAAATTGAAGCAATACTGATTTCTTCATTGACAGAGTGTAATTGGCAAATTTAATCATTAAAAGGAGAAATGATGGGAAAAATATTGCCTTTTCCAATAACAACGTGATCTTGAGTGACTATCCAAAGCAGTAAATATGCAAGATGAGCTTATAAAAGGAGGGCCCTACCATTTAAGCCTAATGAAATGAGTGAAACAATTAGTATTGCCCGTCATGCTTAATTGCTCAGCGACAGCCAAGACTGATCTTTTTATGAACCTTTCAGTCCTGGACTCAGGATTATTCACAGTGCTCTAGTCCCAGTGAGATGCAGTAAACTAAATACACCTCACCCTCACCTGGCATGAAGGAGTCCTCTTATAAAATACAACTTCCTAGAGATCTTTTTTGTTTTTATGCATAGGGGAAGTAAGTTGAAACACTAGCATTTTTCTCTTTTTTAAGAAATAGTTTTAAAAATCACCGTCTATTTCAGAAGATAGGTTTTTTGTTTTGTTTTGTTTTGTTTTTAAATCTCTAGGCCTTTTTGGCCCTCACCCTTTGGCACAATCTTCTCAAAAAAAATGAACTTGAAAAATTAAAATAATAAAATGGAGAAAATACCAGAGGACAATTACCAGTCATGGTTCAGAGATCCAAACAATGAAAACTAGTCAATATTATGAATTTATGGTACAGCATAGAACAAGGGCTCAGGGATTCCCAGGCGTGCCCCAATAGGTTTTACGAAATTCAGTGCATGAAGAAATGCACTCACTAACTTTAACAAGTACCCCAAGGTCCAGTGAAGGCACATATAAGTAAGTGGGCTGCAGAAGAGTGCGGTAGCTCTGCGCATTACTTCCTGCCCAACTTCTGCATTAGTATCAATCTACGGAGTCGCCCGTGTGCTTGGCAAATGCAGAAGCTTTCTTTTTTTCTTTTTTTAGAAGCTTTCTCTTCACAGTGGATACTTACTGTCGAGTAAAGGGAAGACGTGCTGGAGACCAGTGATAATGAAGAGCCGTGAACTGGAAAAAGCAAAAAAGAACAAAAGGTGAAATACTGAAGTCTGCTCAGAAACAGCGGGCCTTTGCTGGAACGTGGAGAATAGGCCATTAGGGATGTAAAATAAAAACAGCTAGACAGAAGAATTGGAGAATGATTCTGCTTCTGGAGGTCAAACAGTTGAGACAGGGGAAGGTCCCATACCTGTTCCTCTAAAACACCTCCTTTATCATGTTGGATAGACCCTCCGAGTGTGCTGTGTGCTTATTTCAAGCTGTAGTAAACTTCCACAGAATAAATTACCAGAAAATCATAGAAACCTAAAATAAAGTGGCCATAAACTTTACACTTTAAGAAAACGTTTTATGTATTTTATTTGTTTAATTTCCTTTTTATACAACAAGGATCCATTTTCAATGGTTTTTTGCCACATGCTTTCAGGGGAATAAGCATTTAACTTAACTTGCTATTTCAACATTATCTGTGATGAGTCGATTATGCCCTTTTAAATGGAGAATTATTATTCCTTTTGTAGTTTTAGTCATAGAAAAATACTTATTTCAAGGTGGTGTCTCACGGAAACGAAGAACGGAAGTTGCATATTTTTATTGGAGTATACCAAAAATACCATCTTACACAATTGATAGACTGTTTTATATCTCTGCACGTCTAATGTGTTAAGTCCAAAAGGCGGTAAAATTATGCTTAATTATATTTGTAGAAAAGTCCTTCTGTTTTTCACTGTGGGGTAATATAAAGTTATTTATGCATATTCACCCATTAAAAAACATTAGTTGGGCCCACCCAACGAGACAGGCCATTTCTAGATCCTGGGACTATAAAAATGATAACACCATCCTAGGAGCTCAAAAAAAAATAGAAAGATATACAACTCAGAAGATAATTACAATAGAGTAATAAAACCCTGTCGAGAGCAATGCAAGGGGTACTATAAGAATACATGGGAGATGCTCACAACCTGGTCTGGAGAGGACTGGGACAATCCTGTGTAGGATTGTGGCAGTGGGGCTCAAAAGCAAGGGATGAATTTGAGGGACAGCAGCAAGAACTTGTTTAAAACTGACTAAATATAAAAATGTGGGTCAAAAGAAGAATAAAGGACAATCCTCAGATTTCTACTACCCCTCTGTGAAATGTGTAAAATGTTAGTCATCTGAAGAACACAATACAAACAAAATCCCACATTCTTCCAGCCTCTAAACTAAGATTTTCAGCATAGGGTACAGAAGTCAGGTGGACAACAAATCAGGAGATTCCATTTTTGGTCCATTGCTGCTACCTACTATTCATAGGTCAATGACCTCCTCCTAGTCTGTGGCTGTTTCTTTATCTTCACCATGAGCATTGAGCAGAGAAGGCATCAATAAAGCCCCTGCCATCTCGCTAGCTCAACAATCCCTTGATGGTAGTCCACAAGATAAGACCTGTAATAGTTTACTGTTCAATGTATGGGCATCAAAGAGCCATTGTGCCCACTCAGCCTGGCGTTCAGCAGTTTAGATGATTGAATCTTCATACACAGAAGGCCGGACTTTCCCAGCATACGAAAAGTATTCTATCTGTAAATGAGGCACCCTAGATGAGCCATCAGGATGCTTAGCAAATTATTATTTTTTAAAATATTTTATTTATTCATGAGAGAACTAGAGAGAGAGATAAAGATAGAGATAGAGAGAGAGGCAAAGGGAGAAGCAGGCTCCATGCAGGGAGCCCAACGTGGGACTCGAACCCAGGACTCCAGGACATGCCCTGAGCTGAAGGCAGGTGCTAAACCGCTGAGCCACCCGGGAATCCCCACAAATTATTTTTTACAGTATTATAAGATGCCTGTCTGTGAAGAGAGTGATAGGACCATCTCAAAAAAACAATGACTTCACATTTCTTATCAGTTTAATTTTGTCTATCTACTCTGCCACAATCAGCAGACTCTCGGGATATAACTCCCCTCCGTCACACTGAGCCGAGGGGGTTCAGTTAATAACCCAAAAGGTAATGGCAGTGGTGATCAACCGATTTAATGCCAGCAGTTTAAATGTACAGTGGTGGCCTGAAAACATGAAATCAATTTTCACAGCTATCTAAACTTTTAGTCAGAAGAAACTTTAAGAAAGTAGGAAGGATAAAGAGAAAGGAACAGAGCTACCCCCTAATTTCATTCTCATGACAAACCTGTGAATTATAGATGCAGGAATTAGCACTGATTAAGTTAAGAAACCTGGTCAAATTCATACCACAGGTAAGTGGATGAACAGAGGCATAACAGTATGTTTCAAGGTCTGGAGTCCTTTCTTTTACACATAATTATTAAAGACTAGGATAGTTGGCTGACTTCATGTCTGATTTTATTCTGATCAGTTTAAACTTTTATGTTTACCTTTATTTTATCCTTAGCTAATATGCTTTATAATTTGTGTGCCACAATTTTCCTTTATGGCTACTTTAAAAAATCTTCCTCTAAATCAAAGAGGAAAATCTCTCAAATATTCTCAAATTTCACACCTGCAGTTATATAGCTTAAAAAATTACATATATTTGAACATCAATGAGGCCTCCTGAGTTTTTCAAATAGAACTATTATAAAGTATTCACACAGAACCTGTTGCATTGTATAAGGAAATGAAACTTCTAAGGCAAAACAGTAGACCTGATATGAATTCTGATATGATATGATAACAGAAACCAACAGCAGAGGGAGTTTCTGAGAATACAAGTTGGCAACATGCAGTAGTTTCATGAGATCATTTTTCTCGTTTATGTATCTGTATGGTTCTTTAAGGTGTCAAACAAAACATCTGCTCTGATATTTGACAAACGAGGGCAAATAATCTCTAAAATAATGAGGATTTCTGTATGGGAATGTTCGATTTGTTCTGAGCTGTTCTATAGGCAACTATTAACCTAAACAATTTCTGGCATATTTTCAAATGCATAAAGAAACAGAAGATAATGCAGACTAAAACTTCTTCAAGCTTCAGGGCTCCCTAAATGAGAGTTATACTTACTCATTTATTTACTCTTCAGGAATCCTTGTGATGGCGACTGCTGTGACAGTTTTCATCTCTGAGTTAAATAAAGTAACTCCATCTTTATTTCCCCCTACGCCTACCTTCTTCCATGCTGTCTCGGAAGGAGCCTGAATGACTGATGGCACGTGGCCTTTCTTCCAGAGACGTGGCACTGCCACAGAGCTGGGAGTCGTCGTAGAGATCGAAGGAAGAGTCTTGGGCTGGGATGCTGTTGGAGCGCATCATGCTGGGCCCAGGAAGGTTAAATTGAGACAGATTGGTTGGGCTCACTGAAAAACAAAGCACACATAGCCTCGTTATTCTGGGGCTTGGGTGATGAAACGGTAGGCTGCTGGAGAGGGAGGATGAGATCCTAATTCCATGGAGGGGTGAATTCAGTGGGTGTCTCTATCTAAGGTAGGCTGACTGTCTGCATCTGAAATGTTCAATAACAGTTTCCGCAGAGTCCCTCTTGTCTCCCAACACTTCCATGGCCAGCAGAATGGCAATGACTAAAGCAACATTAAGCAAAGCCGCCAAGCAACCTCTCCTGTTCATGCTCGAAATACAACAACATGGTAGATCCTGCTGGCGATTATGAAGAAAAGACTTTGTGTTTGCAGGTTTCTTTTCAAGAAAAATGCATCACTTTTATAGAAAAAATAAAATTGAAAGGGAAACACAAGAAATCTAAATTTCCCAAGAAGACCCTTCTGAAGCTTCCAGGCAAAGACTTCCAGTCATTTTGAGTTCTGAATTTATGTAAGTTCATGGTCAGTACCATCATTATTATCAGAGTTAGTTTATACAAGAAGAAAATAAAATTTTTCTTTAAATGGAATGTAATATACATGGTTTCTAGAGCTCATCCAGCAGGTTAATGACACAATTCTTTTCTTCTGTGTCTAAGACAAGAGTGCCGTAGTGAGACTGTCAAATGTCACAAACCTGTTATGTTTTCTGAGCAGTACCTCATGTTCACCATTTGAAATAAGAATTTATTTACTTAGTGCTCATTGTCAAAGAGTTCTGATGAGACTTAACTTTGCAGGCCAACTGATAATCATGAACTTAAAAAAAAGATGTGGCTGACTGAATGTACAACTGCTTTGGAAACAATACTGTCTTAAAATATGGAATAAAAGCACAGCACAAACCAAGAAATGTATTTATTATAAATAACTCATATTTAAGAAAAGTAAGCTGTTACAGACATGTGAAGAAGTAGGCAGGAACCTTTTAAGCTATCACAAAAGCTGTGAGTACTTTCAAAACCTCAGGGAATTTATGTCATTGGCTCAGAATTAGTCTGATTATCATTTCAAATTTTGCTATTTTTTTCCTTTGACACAGGCACTACATTTCTTTTTAATATAATGGCTGGCTTTCAAAACAATGTAACATAGGAGTCATACATTGAGGCAAATGAAAGAGAATGTCTCCTGTTTCCCATGCACTGTGCTGGATATTTTATAGGTATAAATGAATTAATATACAGAACAACTCTGTGACAGAGTGGTTGTGGATCAGCATGAAAAAAAAAGGACGAGAAAAAGGAAAGAAACACAAGATTTAGAATTGTATCTGTGTGTGCAAATGCAAAATGCGATAAAGATTAAAGAAACCATAGATTTGCAAAGTGTGCAATCTTTTGGAAAGAAGAAAGCCCTTAGAGAAGGAAAGAGAGAAGAAAAGAAGGAAGAATGAGGAGAGACTGGGAGAGTAAAGGGACAGCAAGGGAGGGAGGGAGAGAGAGGTATCTTTTAGGCACAGTCCTTCAGCCAGCAGTGCCTAATTCAATTTAATTGCTGATTGACTGCCAATAGCTACACTGAAGGACATTCTAGACTTGAATGTGTATGTTTAAAGTACCTGCATTGGAGTAAATCGTCCTATTCTATGTCTATAGTTTGAATTGTCTCTTTGCTAAATGAATGAAGTATTCAACACATTTGTAAATATTTTATGACAATACGTATCCAGAGGTTAGGAGGTTATTTCTTTCACTATTCGTCTTTGCATAGTGGTTGCAGAGCTATCCAAGTAAATTGTCCTTCTATAATTTCAAAACCTACGACTTGACTGATGCAAGAAATAGAGAATTGGAGTGAATTTTAAAGTGAATAGTTTGCATTTACAAACACTTTTGATAACTTCTCCATTGAAACTATACCCATACTATTTAAGAATGTTCAGTTAAGTTCATGTCTATGACAGGTCTACTTTTTTTGGTACTGTGGTCGAATGGAAAGATAAATATGGCACGGCCTTGACTTCAAGAATGGCTACAGCAGAGGTGACTGAAGGGCAGAAAATTTCATATGTAAATAAATCAAGAAAAATTATACAATAGAAGACAAAATATGACAGAGAATTTCTGCAATGGTACACAAATTAGCACAGGCAAATATCCCAATCTCTACCCTTCAGCTTCTTCATGAATTATAATTTTTAAAAACAGCAGAATAAATGACCTTATGACTCATTCAAAGGTTAGAGACACAGTCAAGTTCTAAATAGGAAAGCTATAGATGTGGCAATATATTAGGGAAAAGGGGGCTACTGACTTTGTCTTAAATTATATTTCAGAGCAAAGCCACTGTTTTTATTATATTCTTTTTTTAATTTTTTATTTATTTTTATTTTTTTTATTTTTTTAAATTTTTATTTATTTATGATAGTCACAGAGAGAGGGAGAGAGGCAGAGACACAGGCAGAGGGAGAAGCAGGCTCCATGCACCGGGAGCCCGACGGGACTCGATCCCGGGTCTCCAGGATCGCGCCCTGGGCCAAAGGCAGGCGCCAATCCGCTGCGCCACCCAGGGATCCCTGTTTTTATTATATTCTTTAAAGATTTTATTTACTTATTCATGAGAGATACAGAGAGAGGCAGAGAGAAAGGCAGAGACCCAGGCAGAGGGAGAAGGAGGCTCCATGAGGGGAGCCCGATGCAGGAGTCGATCCCGGCACTCTGGGATCATACCCTGAGCCAAAGGTAGATGCTCAACTGCTGAGCCACCCAAGTGTCCCATCACTGTTTTTATTAAATTAAATGTTGACTTGTGGGATTTGAGGAAAATGGAACTGATAGAAATATGGAGTGGATTTTTTAATACCCAGGGTCTCTCCTTGACTTTGCTACTATATCTAGACAGACTAGCGAGTTTATGATATTGTTTGAAAATAAGAATATTCATATGGAAGCTAATTTTTAACTTATTTTGTGGAAGCTGAGACTATCACTAGGCACTAGGTAGAGATTCAAGAAAATTTTATTTGATTTTTTTAAAAGAGGAACTTCAAAAGTATGATACATCTAGATTCAGAAAGTTTCTGTCATGGGTGGGTTTAGAGAAGCTAGAGATGTCAGAAGAATTTAACTGATAGTTGAATTGAACCAGAGGTAGATGTCTCCCATCTCTGAGATTCTATGTTCTCATGAGTATAGAAGAAAGGGGTTAATTCTGAAAAGCTTGAAAGGTGAATATGGAGAGGGGAACAGTAATAATCACTTCCTGATCATTCAGAAGAGATAATGACCAAATTGGAAACAAATGATGACCAAAGCGAACTGTGGGACAGTGCTATCTATCTATATTCAAGTTAAAATATTCCATTTGATATATTTTTAAAATTTAGTAATAAAGAAATCTTTACTTATATTTAATAATACCCATGGTCTTGCCTAGTAAGTATAAATTCTGTTGATTGGAGATACAATAGAAAGTTGTTTTTCGTTTTATTTTTTAAAGATTTATTTATTTATTTGAGAGAGAGAATGAGTGAGAGAGATACAAAGAGAGAGAGAGAGGGAGGGAGACAGAGAGCCTAATGCCAGGCTTGATGTCATGACCCTGAGATCATGACCTGAGCTCAAACTAAGAGATGCCCAACTGACTGAGCCACCCAGGTGCACCACAATAAAAAGTTTTAAAAAATAATTTCATGTTTTTAAAATTGGCCATTTTTTTCTGTAAAATAACACAGCATAGAGATCTCATAACGCTTGATTTGAAGCCATGTGCACTTATAAAATTTGGGTGGGCACACGAGAGTGTGTTAACATGTCTGGGAAGGTCTTCCTTTATAAGTCACAATGGGTGAAAATGTTGGATAGTAGAGGCAGTAGATCAATTTGAAATCCACTGCTATCATCGTGATAATGTAAGGCATGCTTTCCAATAAAAATGATGAAGTAGCAAAGCCTGTTAAGTCTTATACTCTCTTGAGTCTTAATGCACATAAGATCAGTTCCCTCTAATATAAGCTAGGTATTATGGATCCATTTCACAGATGAGGAAATTGACTTTGTCAAAGTCAGATATAGTAAATGGTGAGCATTTTTTTCCAAATAATAATGAACAGACGGATTTACTTAGAACAATAGAAATAAGAATATAATGGGGTAAGGATTCAATTAGTCAGGGGTGTCTGGGTGGCTTAGTTGGTTAAGTATTTGCCTTCGGCTCAGGTCATGATCCCAGAGTTCTGGGATTGAGCCCCACATTGGGCTCCCTGCTCCGCAGGAAGTTTGCTTCTCCCTCAGCCTCTTACCCCACTAGTGTTCTTTCTCTCTCTCAAATAAATTAATAAAATCTTATAAAAATGATTCAATTAGATTAATGTCAGGTATTGAAAAGATTGATAAGAGCTATAACTAGCAAACTCAACATCCCAGGTGGTTTGGGTTTGTCTCAGATGTTGCGTAAAATTAGAGCTTATTTCATATTTCTATGACACTATAAAAAAGATATATTTTTTTAAGATATTCATTTTTTGAAGTCAAAATTTTAAGCTTCTTGCTATGTTTCATAATTACAATTCGAAGGAAGTAAAAGCTATACTTTCCGTTGTCGTTATGAGACAAAGTAGTCTCATCACTGTGTTGGCGTGGCAGTAAAAACTTGGTGTTTGTTAGGAATTCCTTAGCTCACATGGAACCATGACCAAAATAATTGGTTTTTATTGCCAAAGCTTTATTCTGTAAACAATGAAGAGTTACCAAGAGAAGAGAAAAGAGCCATGAGTGTCCTATGGGACTGAAAAAGTTGAAACTATGAAAGGATTTGGATAATCGGTAGGTCCATTATTAGAAAAAAAAAATTCTAAAGCAAAACGAAAAAAGAATAATGAGACTACTTGATATGTGATTTTATAGAATAGGAATCTATTTGTAAAAGCACTGGATCTATTAAATTATTTTTTTTTATTTTTTTTTTGGATCTATTAAATTATAACTGGCATGTTTAGACTCCTTTCATTACTTTGTCACTCTTCCCTATGTTTTCTGTGACATTTATACAAATGATTTTATATTTCATACAGATGATGCTAAGCACAAAATAATCCAGTGGCTAACTTTGTCATTTTTTTTTTCATTTCACTTATCCAAAAATGTTCACAGGGAAAATTCAGATTCATTTTAAGGAGAATTTTGAAATGGTATTAATTTTGATCAGTTGTAAAGATGTGATTTTAGAGTCATGGAGTTATTTTTTTCTTCTTAATTATTTATATTTTCTGTTATTCTACAATATTTATATTTTCTGGTTTTCTACAAAAGTATGATAAATTTTGTTAAGGATTTAAAAAAACACTTTTAACAAAACCCAAGAGATATTTCATTATTTTTTTAAGAGGACCCTAAGAAAATGCCTTAGGCTTGAAGTCAGGTGTTCTGGGATCTATTACTGCCTCTGCCCCTTATGAGGTGAGACCCTTTCTTTGAGAGAAATGACCTCTCTGTGCTTCTAGATCCTAGACTGTAAAATAACAACAGTAGTACCCATATCAAGTTGTTGTCTTCGGCAATAAACTGCATATCATTTGGAAAGTATTTTGTGAATAGCCAGCCATCCAACAAGTACGAGGTACTATTAATGTGTGTATCTTTTCTTTAAGCGAACAATTTTTATGGATACCAGAGCTCCCGTGAGGGGCAGGTGGTGAAAGGAACAAGATGAAATTGTGTTTAGAACATTTTACCCAGGTTGGAAAAGTGGTATTTTCCTGTTGCAGAAGATGACATAGCAGAAGGGGAGAGCAGAGGGGACTGGTTGCCAGCATCCTGCAGCCCTCCAGTGGAATGGGAGCGCAGCCACTCTTTGCCCTCTTCTTGGTTGGCCTGCCGAGATGATGGGGTGTATCTGCAAAACAGCACAGCTAAGACACTGAAGTACGTCTACAAGGGCAAGGCAGTACCAGAACAAGAAAACAATTGAGAGGAGCTTACTATTCAGACTGAACAACATTCTCAAACAGATTGAATCTAATTATAATTGCTTAGTTCTTCCAGATGATCTGATACCATCTGTTTGAATCTCACAGGAAAAAAAAAATAAAGGATTTTAAAAGGAAAATTATGCTTCTGTGAGATATGTAGTGGAAAATCATAAGCAATGAGCAGACAGCCAAGTTAATTGAGAAGGCCTCAAAAGCACAGTGCTTGGAAGGATGTGAAGAGGGTGAAGGCACAGACTAAATATGGTAGATAGTGCTAGGCCAGGAGCCAAGGAAACTGGTGTGATGGCCACAGAAAGGCATAGGAAATGGAACACAAATTGACAGATCTTTTTTTGAAAAACAAAAAAAAAGAAACGAAAAAAAAAAAAGAAAAACATTAAAAAAATTATTTGGCTAAAATGCCACTTGATATCATGTCTAGATTTTTTTTTTTAAAGGAAAAAATGGGCTCCCTTTGGTGGAAAGTAAATTTCTGAAACAAAATCTTGAAATGGAATAACTGCAAACTATTTGCTATTACTAAGGGACTGGCAAGAAAAAGGATAACAGGCAAAGGCCTATCTGGCCAGTGCTCATTTTCACCAGAGTAAGTAAATTCTTGACATCAAAGAGCATTTAACTCACTCTGTTCATACGTGTTTCACCTCTCCTTGTTGTTCATTGTATATCCTCTCCTCAGACAAAAGTGTACAGTAAAGGAAGGCCATGGATTAAATTTTCACTTTAGTTTTTATGATGAACTGAAGGATTATTTTGAGACTATTATGTTAGACTAGACTGATATCTCAATTGACCAGCACTCCTGATAAACAGAAATTAAAACTCTTGAGTTTTTACCAAAAGGACTCTTTAAAAATTCATACCTTAATTATAGTATTTGTCCTCTGATGATGAAAATATATTTTTTGAAAATTCAAATTAGAGCATCCTTCAACCTTTCAACATTAACGGGCCACATCTGTAGATTATATGGGTTGAGGTTTTGCAAGCATATGCCTCCAAGATGCAAAAGTTAGGGAAGTTAATTTTATTTTAATTTATAGAAATGAGTACTGGAATCTACCAAAAGTTGCTGCCCCCCAAATAATGGTATTTACATTGGATTTAATTTACTTAGTCTGACCTCTACTGGTATCTCCAACAGGAGGCTTATCTCACCAACGCCTCAGGCCAGAGAAAACATCAGGATTAAAAGTGATGCCATCTGTGCTGGCAAACGAAGGAAGAAAGGGAGAGAGCACACAAGGTTTACGTAACAACAGAGAAAGGCATCAATTGTGCTGAGAGAAATATATACCTTAGTCCCTTTTTGGGTAGTGTATTTCTGGCAAGCTGCATGCTGTTAAAACAAAGAAAACCCCTAAGGACATAATGCAAACAAAACCTCCAAATTACACATGCAACAAAAATGGTTCTCTAAACTTCACAAAATAAAGTTTTTGTGACAAATATTTAGTGCTTAATTTATTGGAAAAGGCCAACAAAAGGGGACGGGATGTCCATTGTTGTAACACATTCGATGATAATTTACTGACCGGATTATGAGCAGGTGGATTAAGTCATTTGTTGACATAATTCCCCACTAGATTCTATTTACCTACTGCTAGGGTAGCTTCCCTGTGCAGCTGACTAGACTTTGGCTGTGATTTCAAATTCTGGAGAGTCCGAGGTGGAAATAAGACAGATCTGCTCTCCCTCAGTTAAACTGACTACTTTCAATGGACAGAGGAGATATAAAACACCCTTTAATACTCAGTTTTTGTTTTCATATTATTTTTAATAAAAACAAAGGCAGATCTATTCCATTTGCATAGGACAGAAAGTAATATAAAATATCTGCTTGAAACGTAATGTTTTTGGCACCATTTATTTAAATATTTAATAGAATTAAACCATGCCATCCTTTGGAGATTCTAAGTTAGATATTTAAAAGGCTGTAAGTTTTTATCAGTTTCCATTTTAAAGAATTCTCAACTGGTCATAGAAGAGGGATGAAAGGATGTGTCTGGAGAAAATGAGAAATGGCCTCTCTAAAAATAGAAGAGGGTGTCAACAACTAAGTGGGACAAGTCTAGAGATTTCTGTTACAATCTCTGGCATGTAAGAATAAAATTTTGAATTTCAAGAATGATAGCTCTCTTCCAGTAGAACCCCCAATGATCAAAATTAAATACACAGGATATGCATAATGTGGATGATAAAACACAAATGCAAACACATTGACTTGAAAATTAAGCACTCAAAATCAAAGCTAAAATGTTTTCTTCTATGTGTACTCCATTAGCACTGTAGTAGAAAGCAACCAAAGGCATTATATGACTTTTACTTGTTGGGAATGTCTGCATAAGGTAATTACTCCATTATGTAGAGGCCAGTTCTAGTAAATGTTTTGACTACATAAGGTTTTTAGTAGTGTGCATCAGCAAACAAAAAGGAATCAGACTGAACAAATATGAAAAACCTATCAATATGGTCACAAGCCATTTTAAAGATTATCTTTTTCATGTGTGCAGATTTATTAAAGCTTCACATTGCAGAGAAAATTGAAAATAAGCAGTTTGCCAAAATATCAACTGTATAAAATGTGTATGTTTATATCATTCAGAGAATTTAATTTTAAAAAATGGAAAAAATACATTTAAATTGACCAATATAACTTAAAACCTTTAAGTAGAAATATGTTTGATCTGGATACTAGTGGTTTTATAATGTAGACACTTTCCACACATCTTGAAAGGTCACATACTCTTATGCCTACAAGGGCCAGGCAGGCAGGGGGCAATGAAGGAGAGAGGGATTTTAGCCAGTCTGAGGTGGTCAGACAGTATCTGTTCAAAGCCAAGAGATGCTCTACAGGATTGTGAAGGCAGGGTTGCTCCACTTCATATTTCAAAACAAGCCTGCAATAAAGTAACCAACTACTTTAAATTACTGTTAAATAATTATTGTGAGATGGTATCATTATATTTTATTGCTTTAAATTATTTAATTTAATTAATTAGAATTTATAAAATGTTTTATAAAATAAATGTACAGAATTAAAATAAATTACCTTAAATTAATTTAAATTAATGTTTAATTATTGTTAAATAATAATTATTGTTAAATAATATGGTTAGGTTACAAAAAGCAAAACAAACTAAATAACTGTGAACTGGTTACGGCTCAAGGGCCACCAATGATTTGGAGCAGCTAGCAGGGAAATTACTGAAAAACTTTTGTGATTATTCATTATTTTATGACATTTTAACGAAAAGGAATTTGAACAAAGTTAAAAATCTTTATGGAAAATTATTGATTCAATAATATTAAGATATGAATATATCAATAAAATTTTTTGAAATTGTAGATTAACAGGTAAGTCGTGAACTTCTATAAAACCCCAACATCTCACTCTAATTACTTTCTTTTCAATATTTACATTTTAGCACACTTTTTGTCAGGTATGGCTCTTTGGTTTCCTTAGCGTGCCCAGCATTCTGCTGACTGCTTAATTTGAATTAAGTCAGGATCTCTGATAGGATCTAATTTTCTCTTCAACAGATCATACACTTTTTTAATGTACTTTAAAGGATTAGAATAAATTGCGACTGCCTGCAGTTTTGTTCCCAAGAAAGAAAAAATACAACTCTCATATCAAAAATTATTTCAATCTAGTAATTTCCTGGGGGGAACTAAATAATATTTATATCATATATTATATCTAGGAAAGTATTTTTATTTTTAACAATTTAATATTCATCAATATATTTCACTAAGAATCCAGTATAAAATATGCATTTATTTTAAATTAGCCTACAGTTTATTTTAGAAAAAAATGCTTATCTGGCTATTTTTTTTAAAGGTTATTTATTTATTTATTTATTTATTTATTTATTTATTTATTTATTTATGATAGACACAGAGAGAGAGAGAGAGGCAGAGACACAGGCAGAGGGAGAAGCAGGCTCCATGCACTGGGAGCCCGACGTGGGATTCGATCCCGGGTCTCCAGGATCGTGCCCTGGGCCAAAGGCAGGCGCCAAACCGCTGCGCCACCCAGGGATCCCTATCTGGCTATTTTTAATACTGGAACACTTTCATTTGTAAAGCTGGTCTATTTCAAAAACTGACCAACAACAAGAAGATTTGCTTAAAGAAAATAAGTGACTGCATATTTGCCAGTGTATTTCTAAGTGAAAATGTATATTTACTTCTGCTAAAATATAGATAAAATAAAAAATTAGCATTGCATTTGTATCTATAAAACTCAATTTTATCATCGGGTTTGATTTGAGGGTTACGTGGTTACAAATTGTTCCTTGTCTATTTTTCTTATTTTTTAATATCTAAATGCCAGAGAAATGGTTGATGGCTAAATGGTCAACTTATTGCAGCCAAATATGTAATTTAAAAAATCAGTAATCTGGAGGGTGATTTGGGTTAATAAATAATGACCTATTGGCAGTGTGATTATAAAATTATCATTTGGATTCCTCCCATATCAGTATACAATCAAAGATACATCCATTAAACTATAGATAGTTAACAGACTTTCAGCATAATTTGATTTACTTGTTATAAGTTTTGAAAATGACATATGAGGGCGCCATTTACCTTCAAGTATGGAAATTCAAATCCAAGATGCTGTAGGAAGCCTAGCTTCTGAGATAAAAAATTAAACGAAACAGTACTTACAGCCAATGTTTTTGTGGCTATAGTTGCTCTTCATGTATGCTAGCTACGATAATAAAACTAGCAGAGACATAGATGCAAAGGCCTCTAGTTTAGTCTCTATCTCTCAACTTTGTTTTGTGTCTCTTGGTCCAGTTTTTTGTTTATGCAGAAAAATGTTATTTTGCAATAAGTAGCCCACCATAGAAACTATCAAGCATAAACATTTCAGTTCTAAAATTCTTTTACCAGGAGGATGTCTCATGGGCATGGGTGTTCACATCCACGAGGGGACCAGGAGGTGTCGTGGATGGAAGCAATGCATTGCGACACTTCACAAAGGTAGGACAAACAGAAGAGCAATGGGGAAGTGTTAGGTTAACGGGACAACTAATGCAATGTGGTAAGAGTCTAGGTGAGAGGTTTAGTCAAGGTTTTAAAAAATAATTCTGGGAGTAAGGCTGGAAGTCTGGAAAAGAGATGATGTCATCCCAGTAACAGATCGAACAAAAGATTAAGGAATGATATCAGGCATTTTCCAGGGCCAGGAGTGCTTTCACACAGTAACACAACTAAGACGTGTGGCCAGGAGTGCTTCTAAAAGCCTTAGGTCAACAACTTTAAGGTTATCGGGGGGAAAAAGTGTCAACTTCAGGACATTTTCCAGGGGGAAAGAGTCAGGACCATAATACATGAGAAAGGATTTTTAGGGTGAAAGAATCTAAAGACATTTTGGTTAATATAACACTTTCTGGTAAATTTATTTGGTAAGACATGCCTTGTTATGTGTTTCTCATGGTTAAGTAAAGAACAAAAAATAAACTCCTTAAACCAACGGGAAACACATTTATTTTCAAGGGGCCTATTAAAAATATCACTGATGTTATTAATTTTCTCTAAGAATTCCTATCTGACAAGTGACTTTTTTTTTTCCAATTCAACTAGGATTCCCCAGTGACCTTTTTGCTATTTTCCACAGAAGTGCTAATAAGGTAAACTTAACATATCGCTCAGAGCATAATTGTAGAATCCATTTAAATTTGGTCTTTAAAAAATGCTTAAATTATCATAAGAAGCTATTGTTGTCTTGGAGTTTAGGCCAAATCATTAACATGTCTTGAGAAGACATCATTTAATACATAAATACAACGTTTTGAATTTTATTCAAATTGCCTATTTGGTATATACGGATGCATTCATATTAAAAAATTATACAATTATCCTATTCTTAATGGCTTTTTTTTTTCCTTCTACAAACTTGGTAATAAGAGCAAACAAAAGGCCAGTCTCCTTAATCTTCTCTCTCTTCAGTTTTATGGTCCTTTGCACAGTGGCACTCCCAGTGACATCAAGGGGATTTAGTGGGGGAGGAGGGGGGAGAGGGTGAAGACTTCATCGATGCCTCTAGAAAAGCTCACCTTTCTGAGAGAGTAGATCTCACACTACCCGTTCTCATGAGCAGGCTCTGCACCTCGTGAGTGCCTGTGGTCAGTCCAGACAGGGAGCCATGGTGGCTGAGGGGGAGGTCAATGGACTCAGAGCTCGTATGGAGGCTAGTCAGGGACTGGTAACTCGGAGTGTCCTTGCTGCCAGCAGAGGAACTGCTCAGATTGGCAGCCCACACGAGACCACCTGAGGTGAAAGAGTGAACCGATGCTGGGCTGGAGGCCAACGAGTGACTTAAGCTTATAACATCTGTAGTTAAGTCTGAGGGTTTATTGAAGAGAGGGCTGCTGCTGCCACTCAGCCCACCAGCACTGCCCATGCTGCCCGTACCAGACGACGGTGACTCCAGACTGCCTTGCCGCGCTAATGTGGTACTAGGACTGGGCATTACTGAGGAGGATTTCACACCCTCAGTATTAGGTGCAGAGGCAGATTTGCCACCTGCCTTGGCACCAAACAACCTAAAAGAAAAACAAATAACAACTTCAGTTGTTCCAAGACACTGATATCCACATTTAATATTTAGGGTTACAGTACACAGAGCCAGGTGTGCTTTGCCGTACCACGCTGCCAAGCACCTCCTGTCTCTATGTTAATGAACTTTATAAACTTGAACTTCTTAATCTAGTGCCAAAAAAGTCTCACGTGTCACCATAAGGGTAAGCCGGTACTGGGCTGACACCCAGGTGGTGGGGGTGGGGGGGGCAAGGGGGGCAGAGCAAAAGTAGATCAAACATGAAAATCCTTGGCTTTCACAGTTTAAGTGACCATGAGAATCTTTGGAGAAAATTAAAGAGTTGGAGCACACTTGCTGTTACCTATTTACAGATCCATTATAATGAAACAACTTCTACGCATTCGGTATATAATACTTAAATTTTTTTCTTTCTTTTTTCTTTTTTTTTTTTTCATTGTAACGGTTCATTCAAAATCTAAAAGGAGTGCTTAAGGCAAGGTTTAGGAGGTAATGTGACCTATCTGGTGGCCTGAGTGACTGTCAGAGAGCCGTTGGTTAGAAACAAGATTGGACACTATTGGCAACATGTTGGTTTGTGTGTATTTTCCCCAAGAAAGACCAAAGGGTTTTATGTCAGTTGCCAGTGCTATTCAAATACACATTTATAATAGTGATTTGAAACATCGCTGGTGCTTAGATGTTGGAGTTTCGTTCAGAAAACATTTTAGTTTTGTAAATGAAGCAGATGGTATAATCGAATTTATGTAAATATGGAAATAAAGTGATATGAAGTAATGGCATAATGATTACTAGCTAATTAAGTTGCAATGAAATCCGTATTTCCTATAGTGAAATATTTTATGACGAATATGAGAAATTGTTTCATAGGTAATGGGCCACTGGAGGGCACTATTGGCTTTTACTTAAGCAACAAAAATAATTACTCCCACTACAAGCCATTATTCTTTCCAATGAGAATCAACATTTCAAAAAGCCAGTTTTTCAGAATTAATATTTCTACTGAGGAATATAACCTCTAGGTTTTCAAACAATCATGTATCTGGGATTGCTTGAAACGTACAAGCAAGTGTTACAAGAGCCCTTACTCCCCAGTTATCAAGGTTCTTGGTTTACTTATCATAATAAAAACAAACATTAAAAATACTTAACATGTAAGAGATTATAAATCATACTCTATCATTTCAGGGGCGAAGAAACAGACCCAGAGGAGTTTAACCATTTGTCTCAAGTCTTTAACAGTATGTATTTTCCTGCCACTTAAAATATATTTGTATTTTAATACCACAAGTTCTCACAGCAGAACTGCACATACTGAGTACCAAAGACAGTTCCTATACAGAAACCACGTTATGCTGCTTATCTGAGTCCTATCAGAGAAAGCTGATGAAGCTACAAAATCTCACCCATTCCTTAGTCGTTAGCCTATTTGCACCATACAAACGTTTTCAAGTTCTGTCCATATCATATCTTGATTTTCATTAATATGTCAAGATACGGTACAGCATTGATCTGTCCAATGTAATCTCTTACAAGAAAAACAATTTCATCTACATTCATGATCATCTGCTCATTAAGAGCCAGAAGATCATAAACACTGGAAATTAATACCAAGAGTCATGAAGACCTATTTTGTTTTATTTTTAACTGTGGAAAGGAGAGTTGAAAATCTAGGGAAACGGAACACGCGATTACTCTGTGTTATCACTACCCGCCAGTACTGCCATATGCTTTTAAGTTTCTTATAAACACTGGTTGTGTTGCTAATATTAGAACAATAGTGGAACTGAGAAGTTTGAGCATTTCTCAAATGAACACCAATTTTTTTTGCTAGCTAACTGTATGATCAGCTTTTTAAAACCCACAGTACTTAGAAACTAAATAAAAGATTCTAAGATATATGTACCTTAGAACATATATTTAGGGTATATATCTATATATTTAGGATATAGGATTTAGGACACACATAATAGTCTATGTATATATACATAAATGGTTCGCATGTATCCTACAGCATAGCATTTTTAAAATTTTCCCAGCATCATTTTACACATTCTTACCTTCGAAACGTAGGTGAGGCAATGTCAGGATACTTGGATCCTGGCTGCCTGAGCCCTTGCGTCCCACAGGCACTGGCAGAGGTAGGGCTGGATTTGGGGGAACCTGACAAAGAGACACTCTCTGAATCTGAGACTGCTACTTTTTCCTTTTCCTTGTCTGTTTGGTTGACAGTAACAGGACTCGAGCGCCCTGACCCAATCTTAGTAGGTTCTCTGAGTTTCGAGGTGGAGGCCCCGGCTGACTTGCTGCTGACATTGGAATCAATACTGCTGGTGCTGGACCTGTGTCCACCTCGGCCGGGGATGCCACTCGTGCTCGATTTTGAAGGGCGGGGCAAGCTGCGGTACTGTAGGGAAGTCTTTGAGCTCACATGCAGCACACCATCATCCTGATTCTGTGAACCGTCCAGACTGGTTTTTCTCCCTGCATTTGACTTCCCACCAATGGCAGCAGATTTGGGGATTTTACCCAGGGTTGCTGATCCACTTGTTATTGTGGCTCCACTGCTTGTGATCATAGTAGACGACCCTACTCCACTTGGTTTCTTAAATCCGAAAGAGCCAGGAGCAGCTGACCTTCCAATGCCCGAAGGGGGCTTTTTCCCCTCATCTCCACTGCTTTTTCCTGCATCTGAAGGAGACCTCTGTAGAGATGATCCTTTTAGAGGAGTTTTGCCTTTCTCAGAAGCTTTGGCATCATCGGTTTTCCCTAAGTAATGAGAAATACACAAATATACATGCCTGCACATTATGATTACATAATAACCTTTCTTTAAACAATGTGTAAACATGTGAATACGTCTTTGTATTACTTCAGTTCCTAAATACCCATTTAGACATCTTTATATTACTTCAGTTCCTAAATACCCATTTAGATCTAGATAGGTATGTGCTTTAATATATTGTGAGAATTGAGTACAAAGCTATGAAAATATGGCTAGAGGAAATGTGATGAGTGATGAAGGAGATAAAGTGAAAACACATATTTCTGCAGTTTATTACTATCTTAAACCTCACAACGCTCTCCCTTTATCAGGACAGCACTTAATCTTATCAAGCTAAGTGCTCGAAAAAGAATTCATTTGACTATCTGTAAGATGCTTATATTTAGGGTCTCCTGGTACAAAACTACTTCAAATGGCCCTATTTAAAATTAGGCACCATTTTAAAAATAGAAAGAGCATCTTTAAAAAAAAAAAAAAGATAGTACAATTTGGCAGAAGTCTTCCACTCTATTGTTTCATAAAGTAAAATTCACAAATGAGGTTTCATATCTCCAGAATTCCAACCCATTAGATTAGTGTGATTGGTCTTGATTCTCAGTGGTAGTAGTGAAAATTAGTGGAATACTGCACATAAATATTCCAAACTTTCATAAGGAAGTCAGAGGGAAAGCAGTCTTATTTTTATTAAGCAGATTTCTTTTATTTCCACATGAACAGAAATGACTACGGCAGAATAGAGACACTCAATAGCCCCAAATTATAATGGTGCTCTCTAGAGAATGCCTAGATTGTGATATTCATGTGAACTTGCAGGGTAAAGTAAGTGATATTTACATGGAAGAAAATAACCATACAGAGAAGAATATGATTTAATTAAAAATAAAGCTATTATTAAGGAGAACAAAGATTGAATGGAAACCATAAATTAAAACATTTTTGCATAACAGCTGTGAAATGACAAGCCTACCAGGGGTCTTGAGTGCACTTGTGCCAGCTTTCTGCCTGGATGGCGCTCCTCCTTGGGCAGACATGCCTCTTCTCCAGGACCCCGTCTGTGAGATGGACAGGGACGCTTTCTGTCCCGTCTTCTCGGGGTCTTCAGGAAGGCCTGAGGAAACACCCTTCCATTTGCCACCACTATCCCCATGGCTGTCAAAGTCCTCTTCCGGTTTTTTCAGCTCCTCAGTAGTATCCCATGTCTCATCTGTTGTAGAACGTTTCTCCGAATCTGTCTTGAGCTATGGGGAAAATATTACAAAGAAACTTTGTGCAGAAAAATCTACAATGTGTGAATAGGCCTTGGAATGTACTTTTGGATAACTGGTTAAAGAAATGAAGCACTGATTTCTATTTCAAAAGAAATCCAATGACTCCTATTTTTATCTATGTCTTCATTTAAATTTCATTAATTTTAGCCACATAATTCTCACTTGCACATATTAGAGAACGTCAGAATAAATATGTGCAGAAAATCCCAATTAAATGCTCCCGAGAAGGAATTTTCTATGTCAAATTTAACAAGGGAAAAGAGGACAAGATAAAACTTAATTATCTAATATCCATTCTTGATTTACCATTCTCAAGAGATGTAGTAATTTATTTCAGAGATCAATATAAAATTAATCAAGAACTATCTAAAATTAGGCAATTAAAATAACTTCGAGGGTTAAAAACTATCAGTATTATAAAAGGAGAAATGGTAAAATAAGTGTTTCAGGGGGGCTTGTAATCAATGGAAAAAATATGTATACATAAGCTTCTTTTTTTTCTATTTTTTTCTTTTTAAATTTATTTATGATAGTCACAGAGAGAGAGAGAGAGAGAGAGAGAGAGGCAGAGACATAGGCAGAGGGAGAAGCAGGCTCCATGCACCGGGAGCCCGATGTGGGATTCGATCCCGGGTCTCCAGGATCGCGCCCTGGGCCAAAGGCAGGTGCCAAACCGCTGCGCCACCCAGGGATCCCTATACATAAGCTTCTACAGTTTATGCAATTATTTCAGATTTCGGAGGTTGTAATGTATTTTATTCTGATATACAATAGATTGAGGGAAAAAGCTGGCAGAAGCATTAGAGAAAGAAAGCAGCCACTTCTCACCTGGGTGTTTTTCCTGGAGGGGACAGTGATGTTAGAGTAAGAGCTGACGGAGGACGTGGTATTCAAGTCGTCAGTGCTGATGTTATCCAGGGTGTCACTGAGACCACTGCTCACAGAGCTGCTGTCATCCCAGCTAAAGGCAGGACACACAGCAGCAAGGAAGTAAACACAGGATGCACAAGGCAAGTCACCTATATTTCCATATACATGTATTGGGAAGATAATACTCATTTTTTTACTCTCATGATGGAAAAATTATTGACTTTCCATCTTTGGAGAATCATAGTAAATAAGAATTGAATGCTGTCCTGAGGATAACCTTATCTGATATTTGCAAAGAATCAGTGTCTAGTGCAGATCCAGGCTCTAGGGGAGTATCTAGAGAGTGAATGAAAACACTGCTGCAAATATTGCATGGTATCAGGAAAGGATAAGGCCACTAATTCCTTTATTTTTCCCCCTGAAGAAAAGCAACAGAGCATATAAGAACTCATTCTTTGTTCTGAACGTTAAGAAAAGCCAAGCTGTGCTTTAGTTAGGAATCAGAAAGTCATTCTTCATTCTTTCTCCTCCCTTAGTAACTACTTCTAATGATTCACCAACTCTTGGACACTGAGTTTCACTTCTATCATATCATCGCTCCTGCCATACCTTACAGTTTCTGGCCCTGACAATAAGTAATAACCTCTTATCTGGCCTTCCTGCCTTTGGTCTTTCTCAATACAACTTCATTGCTATATCTGGGCCAATGATCAAAATGATCAAAGATTCACATCTGGTCAGAGACTTCTCTTTATCAAAGCCATAGATTCCAAAATAGAATGCACCTGCCTCAAAGGATGAACAAGGCAAGCTATTGGGCCATAAGAAAAAAAATATCTGAAATTCTGAATATATTTGTTAGATACATTTAAAGAAGAAAAAATAAAATAGGCTACATTAATATTCATGTGCAGGCTAACATGTGCACGCTCACAGAGCCAGTGTGTCAGATGATGCAGAAGAAATGTAGGATAAGCAGGTTAAGTTGAATGAGAATGGCAGCTCCAGAGTTCAAAGGGGTGGGACACAGTTCTCTCATTTACTGGCTGGTTCTCAGTCTCCTGTGATGTATTGCTGCTTACTTGTGTTCTATTAAACAAATTCATGCACATGGGATACATATATTAGATACAGATAAAAGTTAAGTTTCACAAAATGGACAAGTTTCTTTAAAAGCCTTATGCAAAAGAATATCCTTAATGAAAGCATAAGCAAACCACAGAAGTATGGTGGCGAACTGATACTTTTCCTACTCTGTTATGTGTACTTGATAAGTCATATCATAAATCCAAGATAATAGTAACATATTGAGATGACATATGAAACCAATAAGAAATGCAATTATTTAGAAGAAAATAAAATTTGAATTTATAGTAAATAGTGTTAATGATGACCCCTCCCTAGCTGCATATTTTGTGATATTAGCTACTGATAGCATAAAACATCATGATTATAAAAGATATTTATAAGTCAGATTATCAATAACAACTGTATTTTCATTGAGATATCATTAACATATGACTTTATATCAGTTTTAGGTGTTCAATATAATGAATGACTTGATAAATGCATCTGTTACAAAATGACTACTACAAAGGTTTATTTAATATGCAACTGTTACAAATTCTTTTTTGTGATGAGAACTTTTAAGATCCACTCTCTAAGGCCACAGGGTGCACAAGGCAGATGATTTCTCATAACAATTGTCTTGGAAAGCAAAAAGTGGCCTACTTTCATGAGTTCTTGCAACCAGGAAGAGCCCAAAGAGCATTGAACTGCTCCTGGAAAGAAGGCATGGCAAGCAGCTTGGGGACACACAGCTTGGAAATAGTGATCTGAAGAGCACCTGGGGCACACAGTGTAAAGGTTATCTGCTCTTTTTGGAGCATGTCCCACAAAGGTATCATTCACGGAGAGACCCCTCCAAAAACAAAGGAACTGGCCAGCACCATTTCCCTTCCCGTATCCCTTAGCACAAGCATAGGGCAACCCGTGGAAACCAGTTCAGTACCCACACTTGCTACCTAACATGCTTACACCAAGCCGTTCCCCCACTCTACTCACATGCTTCATGGAATTGGCCATCACAGTCCCAGTGCGAATGGCCCCATTTCCCAGAAGACTGGCTGAAACACTTGTCCAGGGTCCATATGTTTTGACCCTGGAGTTTTGCAGAGCCTCAGTTCTGGAAGCAGTGATGACAGCTCTCATTTCACAAGCATACCAAAGCAATATCTAGCTAAAACTCACCAAGGTCAGGCAAAGGACCAAACATTGCCCCACAAGCAATGAGAGCCTCTGCAGATGACTGGCATGAAGGATAAAGTGTCCAGGACACAACAGCAGAGCACATGCAGCATACATTCAAGATACTTCCTGAAGCCATCAAGCCCTGGGGAATAGGGAACACCACACTGCAGGACGCTGTACCCTGCACCACACTATAGGCACTATTCTTCATAAGGATAATTACCTTCAAGAGCAGGAGATGCAGCGTACTTTTCTAATACATGGAAGTAGGCACAGAGACTTAAAATGAGAAGACAGAGGAATCTGTCCCAAGTGAAAAAACAGGACAAAGCCACCACCAGAACTCTAAGTGAAACAGATATAAGAAACATACCTCATACAGAATTTAAAGTACTGATCACAAAGATATTTGCTGGACTTAAGAAAAGAGTGGAACACATCAGTGAGACCCTTAACACAGAGATAAGGAATAACAGCAGAGGTGAAGGGCTCAATAAATGAAATCAGAAACACACATGATGGAATGAACAGCAGGCTGGATGAAACAGAGGAATGAATCACTGACCTAGAAGAGAGTGTAGTAGAAGCTAATCAAACTGAACAGAAGAGAAGAAAAAGAATTATGCAAAATTAGAATAGACTTAGAGAACTCAGTGAGTCCTTCATATGTAATTACATTCATTTTATAGGAGTCCAAGAAGAAGATAGAGAAAGGGAGCAGAAAATTTATTTGAGGAAATAATAGCTGAAAGCTTTCCTAATCTGGGGAAGGAAACAGATATCCAAATCCAAGAGGCATAGAGAACCCAAAACAAAATTAACAAAAGCAGATCTAAACTAAGACATATCGTAATTAAATTGGCAAAAGACAGTGGTAGAGAAAAAGCTTTAAAAACACCAAGAAAAAAGAAGACAGTTACACACAAAGGAAACCTCATAACGCTAGCAGCAGATTTTCAGCAAAAACTTTCCAAGCCAGAAGGGACTGGCATAATCTGTTCCACGTGCTGAATGGGAAAAAATCTGCAGTCAAGAATACTCTATCCAGCAAGGCTACCATCCAGAATAGAAGGAGACATATAGAGTTTCCCAGACAAACAAAACTAAACAAATTCATGACCACTAAACCAGCTCTGCCAAGAAATACTAAAGGGGACTCTGTAAGTGGAAAGGAAATACCAAAAGTGACAGTATGAAGGCAGAAAACACAAAAGCAAGAAAAATGAATATTTCTATAAAAAGTCAGTCAAGGAACTCAGAAAATAAAAGAATATAAAATACATCCCCATTTACCTAAAATGTGTGAGGACATATGTTCAAACTTAAGAATGTGTTCAAACTTAAACAATCAACTTAATATAGACTGCCACTTGCAGAAGATATTAAATGTAAACCTAATGATAATCACAAATCAAAAACCACTATTAAATATGCAAAGAATAAAGAGAAAGAAATCCAAATATATGACTAAAGAAAATCAGCAAACCATCAACAAGAGAAAGACAAGCAAGGACCAGAGAAAATCTTCAGAAACAACTACAAAACTGGCAGTAAAATGGCAATAAATATATCTACCAATAGTTATTTTGAATGTAAATGGACTAAATGTTCCAGTCAAAAGACAGAGTGTGACATAAATGATATAGAAACTAAAAAATCAATAGAAGATATCAATGACCCAGATGTTGGTTCTTTGAAAAAAAAATCAATAAAATTGATAAATGTCTAGCCAGACTTAAGAAAAAAGAGAAAGGACCCAAATAAATAAAATTACAAATGAGAAAGGAGAAATAACAACCAATACCACAGAAATACAAACAATTATAAGAGAATATTATGAAAAACTATATGCCAACAAATTGAACAATCTAGAAGAAATGGATAAATTTCTAGAAGCATATAAAGTATCAAAGCTGAATCAGAAAGAAATAGAAAATTTGAACAGACCAATTACCAGCAATGCAATTGAATTAGTAATCAAAAAAACTTCCAATAAACAAAAGTCCAGGACCAGGTGGCTTCACAGGTGAATTCTACCAAACATTTAAAGAACATTTAACATCTATTTTTCTCAGACTATTCCAAAAAAAAGAAAAGGAAGGGAAACTCCTAAATTCATTTCCTGAGACCAGCATTACCCTAATAACCAAACCAGATAAAGAAATCACAAGAAAAGAGAAGTACAGGCCACTATCTCTGATTATCATAGATACAAAAATCCTCAGTAAAATAGTAGCAAACCAAATTAAAAAAATCATTCATCACGATCAAGTGGGATTTATTCCTGGGTTGCAAAAGTGGTTCAATATTTGCAAACAATCAATGTGATACATCACATCAATAAGAGAAAGGGAAGAACCATATGATCATTTCAACAGATGCAGAAAAAGCATTTGAGAAAGTGCAACATCCATTCATGATAAAATTCCTTAACAAAGGAGAATTAGAGGGAACATACCTCAAGATAATAAAGGCCACACATGAAAAACCCACAGCTAACATCATACTTAATGGGGAAAAATTGAGAGCTTTTTTCCTCCATGGTCTGGACAAGAATGCCCACTCTCATGACTTTTACTCAACATAGTACTGGAAATCCTAGCCATGCAATCAGACAATAGAAATAAATAAAAGGCATCCAAATTGGTAAGGAAGAATTAAACCTTCACTATTTGCAAATGACATACCATATTTAGAAAATGCAAAAGATTCCACAAAAAAAATTGTTAGAACTGAAATGAATTCAGTAAAGTCGCAAGATACAAAATCAATGCACAGAAGTCTGCGGCATTTCTATACACCAATAATGAAGCAGCAAAAAGAAAAATTAAGAAAACAATC